TAAACTGGGGTGTGTGATTTCGTTTGTTCGTAAAAATGCCACTGATTTCGTCTGTTTAACCGTGTTTGTGTTCTTGTTCATCGGTTTCTTTGGCTGTTTGCTCCGGTTGTATTCTTGTTCATCGAATTGATACGCAGATCTCTAATCTTATCTTCTTCTGCGATAATGGGTTGTTGGACTTGGATATGATCAGTCTGATGGACCAGGAAGTGAGCTGTCAAAAACTGTGAATTTCCATTTGAAGAAGGGAAAGATCCTTTTTTTTTTCTAGTGTATTTGATCGGATTTTTTGTGCATAGAGGTGCAACTTGTTTCAGTTTATTCATGAAGCAGTGGTCTGCTGGTGAACGGTTGGGTCGTGGGGCTCAAGAAGTTTCAAATTGCTGTCATCATTTACCTCTTCTGTGCGCCCATCTCCATTCCCCATTCGCCTCGATATCTGTGACGCAATTTAATCCTACACGGCTTTCTAGGGACTGGATTACCGTTTCATTTTCTCACACATTTTCTTGTTCTGTTTTATGACAACAAAAAATCAAATTGTTTTCCTGCTTTGCCAGGGGCCAGGCTGAGAAGGAGTTCAAGGTGGAGGTTGAAGCGATCGGGCGTGTTCGGCATAAGAATCTCGTTAGATTGCTCGGCTACTGTGTAGAGGGCGCTTATAGGTACAATGAAATCTCTTCATCAATTTTGTGCATTATTATTCCCTCTCTGATTAATGGATGTTTTACTCACATTGCCGTTTTGGTTGAACAGGATGCTCGTGTATGAATATGTAGACAACGGCAATCTTGATCAATGGCTTCATGGTGATGTAGGGGAAGTGAGCCCACTAACTTGGGAAGTCAGGATGAACATAATTCTTGGAACTGCTAAAGGGTAATGCTTCTCTCACTGTTGCACGCCAATTTTGCCAAAGTGGGTACCTTGAACAGTGTTATATTGGTATGCCTTGCCTGATTCTGTTTAATACTTCGACATTAAAGATTATGAATATTATGGGCAAATATAGGTCATGATCATTCAGATTTTAGAAGACAGGTGCTAGCTGGCATGGGAGGCTTGTTTTGTTGTGAGACATGCATCATAGTTAGGATAGTAGAGTCTAATTCTGGTGAAATTGATTGTCGTAGGAATTCAGGTGCTTTACTCAAGTTTGTTAGGTTGTGTTCCTTAGCATGCACATATTCCCAAAGACAGCTGATTCTAACCCATGTTTAGCAGATACGAAAAAAAAAACATGTTTTTTTCTTTGTTAGCATTAGGCATCATTTGGTTGTTCAGAAAACAATTAGAATTTCATGTGCATTTAAATAGTACAAACGCCAAAGTAAAGGTGTCGAATTTCTTGGACATTGCATGTGCTCATCTTGCATTCGTCCTTTAATTGCTTTCCTGTTGCCAGCTTGCTTTATTTTAATCAAAGCACCCAGTCTGAGATTGTTTTGATTCGCTCTATAGAGATTTAAGATACTGCATGTAAATAACTAAATACTTACCTTGCACATGCGTTCGGACTAGAACATTGTGACCCTGTTTGACAGTTAAAATCTAGATTAAAGCATCATGTGCATTGATAAGCACTCTACCGATAATATTCTTTGCCTGAAAGCAATATTGTCAGTGGCTTGCTTAAACAACATCAACAGTTCTTTTAAAAGATGGGTTTGATAGGGAAACACATGAATACTGACACCCAACTTCTGCTCTCTAGGCTGGCCTATCTTCATGAGGGGCTGGAACCGAAGGTTGTCCATCGTGACATCAAATCTAGCAATATCCTTCTTGACCAGCAATGGAATGCTAAAGTGTCAGATTTTGGTCTTGCGAAGCTATTGTGCTCAGAGAGAAGTTATGTTACTACCCGTGTTATGGGAACCTTTGGGTTAGTATTGACAATCCACACACAACCTTTACTGTACATAAAAGTTAGTACATCTTATCATGACTGAAATTGGCTATGTTGCAGTTACGTGGCACCTGAATACGCCAGCACGGGGATGTTAAATGAGAGGAGCGATGTTTATAGCTTTGGAGTACTTATAATGGAGATTATAACGGGTAGATCACCAGTAGATTACACCAGGGCACCTGGAGAGGTCAGTATCCTACCTATTCTTTCATGAATCTCTTCCAGGATCGTTGGCATCTGATGGAGCTAAATTGTCTTCTTTTCAGGTGAACTTGGTTGAATGGCTGAAGACCATGGTTGCTGAGAGGAAAGCAGAGGAGGTAGTAGACCCCAAGCTGCCCGAGAAGCCTTCTCCCAAAGCACTGAAACGGGCACTTCTGGTCGCCCTTCGCTGCGTCGATCCTGATGGCCACAAGAGGCCTAAAATGGGACATGTAATTCACATGCTCGAAATGGATGATCTACTATGCCGCGATGTATGTTCTACTCACTTATGAACTTTTTGATTTCTTCCATTTACTAAACAGTATAGTTAACTCATTTTCTGATTGCAATTGTTCATCATACAGGATAAGAAACCCGGAAGAGATGCGCCTCAGACATCGGACAGACACAGCTCAAGGGATGGCGGGAACTTCAGCAAGCGTGAGAACCAACGGTACAGATGACAACAGCCCAGCACTACAGTTGAACATGAGTTTGTATGGATTGCCATTAGGGATTGCCAATATTAACCATGTTGTCATTACATAATTTTTTCCCCTCTCGTTGGATCTCATAACCAGCTCTCCTTGCTCTTTTGACTGTATTATACTCGAGCATCATTCTATGACACTTGACACTTATAAACTACACAAGTGTAGGGTGGTGTTGTGACTGAGACTGACTATGCCCCAGCTAATGCTTACAGTGTTAATGTGATTCTACCTAATGCAAGTACAGTTGTCTGCTCTAATGCATCTTTTACCAGTCCACTCCTGATACCAGCTGCCTGCTTTACTGCACTGGGAGAAGTAATGCTTTCTTCTTGTAGCCTAATGGTTGGTGCCTGCTTGCACATGATGTCACATGACCATTTTCTGCATCTCATCTCATCTCACACTTCCATCCTGCATCTAACCCTTTGTTTATGATCGCCATTAGTAGTTGGCTGCAGAGCTTGGGACTTGTATATTCTGCTGGCAAATGCTTTTGTCCACTATACTGCATCTGGTGATCAGCTGCACAGCATTTGCGCCAGTTCTTGTCGCTTCGCCTTGTCTTGATCTAAATACTAATCTTCGTTTCCATGTTCAGTTGCTGTGACTTTTTCGTACTAGTATATTCATTAGTTCTTTTTTACAGCCAACCAGCTCTGGATCTTGTGCTAATAAACTTGACCGCTGACAGTACTGATTAATTAGCAGGTGATGATCCTACCATCACGTGAATACGTGATCGAACAACTACTGTGCAATCACCATGTATGCAATGAATGGTCAAGTACTAACATGATACCATGCCACAAATTAGTTTGATCATGCTGATTCATTTATTTGACACTGTACAGTCTGTACTACTGAAGTGGAATAGCATGAGAGAAGTTTCTTTCATTTTTCAACGGTTAGCTTGGAGCTACTGTGCCCTGGAAATGTTCAGAGATGGATTCTTCCATTAGAAAAAGGTTGAGTTATGACTTGTGAGTTGAGAGAGTAGTGCAGGACACAGCACACTAGTGGCCAAAAAAACGGCTTGGAGGATTCATGAACCGATGGCAGAAAAAAACAAGAGGAAAAAAAAGCACAGCGAAAGGTTATCCGGCACAGGCTGCCGCAAATACTAAATCTTGTTGGACAGAGACATTTTTGGGTGATATCTGACGCGTTCTTCACCCTTTCCCCACTTTATTCGATAGAATAATTGAATAAACATTCACCTATCTTGATAATGCTTAATGCCTTAGTCTAATTATTGCACAAAGTCTCTCAACAACCTGAAAGACGCAGCTAAGCCTGCCACTGCCGTTGTGATGACTTGTGAACAGCTGCTGCTGCTTCATCAAGCTGATAATGCACAATCATATGCCATGGTACAGGTACACGCATTGTCGAGGTCTACGTCCACATAGCTTCAGGCGATCTCCGTCCTGTAGCGTAGCGACCTCGTGAACACCTGAGCTGTTCCGAAATGGACGCGAGCAATATCCACAAGGCACCAGGTTGTCGGGTTGCCGCCGTTGGGGTTTTCCCGGTGGGCCAGTCGACGGCGGCAACGCCACATGGAATAGAACCAGCCCGACGTACTAGAAGAAGGCACGGGCGCCAGTCTGTTGCGGCTAGCTCGCCCCCCATGGCCTCTGGTCCAGCCTTTAACTCGTCGTGTTCACCTCGCGGTTCGATTCGATTCTTCTTCTGCCAGCAGCCCAGCCTTCACCGTGAGTGCTACTATACTGATACGTTGTGTAGCCATCGATATGCACCGTCCGATTAGTGACCAGACGGCCGGAATTACATCGATTTCGATCATGTTTGATGAAGCTTAACATTCTAAAAAGACAATCGGTTGGTAGTCAGTTTATAGAAATATGAATCTACTAGTTTTTTTTTAATTATGCAATTGCAACTTCTTAAATTTCAAATAAAAAGCTGAATTGTTTCGAAAGGTTTTGTTTTAGGAGAAGTTTCAGCTACCAGAAACTCTCTCAAATATGCCCATAGCCCATCCGCAGTTGGCCGCTGCCGTTGTTACGGCTCCCGTCACGCGCGGTGTCTCTCACGTCCTCTGCGGCGGCCGCTGCTGCTTAGCTGGATAGCAAACGCCGAGCCGTGCACGCTCCGCTGCCATGGACAGCGACTCGCGTCGCGCAGCACGGCGCCACGAGCGCACAACGCGCCGGGCCAGCCTCACGCGCGCGCGGACGACGGCGTTCCACTGGAACTCGGTCTTTCTCACGAGACGCCGACGCCGTCGTCTACTCGTCTTCGTTCACAGATGGATAGGGAAAAAAAGGGAAACAAAAAGGGCGACGCGCGTGAGCTTGCATGATTGATATGTACCATACTAATATAATCTGACAAAAGAAGGTAATGCTAAGAGATAAGAGAGGCAATGATCACTTTCAGCCTTTGGAAAGCTGACGCTGAGGCAATTATGTAGGGAAAAATGGTTTCATCAAGTTGTGCTAGTGTCGGCATAAAAGACTGCAATAGTGCTAGTTCCGTATCAAAGGTGCCGCACTGACACTGAGGATGAGGGTGTATGTACATGCATGGGGAGCTCTTTTGATCAATCACACAAGAGAGATGATGACACTACTAGTAAGCATATGCCTGAACAAGCACACACACATACATACAGGTAGTATGACATGCATGCTGTCAGTTCAGCAGCACAAGAGATGCCGGAGAGAACAACAGCTGCGTTTTAGCTTCTACCACTTGCAGTTGCCTGGCTACCACCACCATCAGAGAGAGGGCCTCTTGGTTGTTTGCCGTTGTTCTGTGGGGTCAGGTTGTCTGGTGCAGCTCTCTTTGGCCTCAACTACAGTCAAGATAAAGCGTTGATAAATAGATGTTCCATACTGATTTATGTAACCTTTGTGAGAGTCTTAGGCTCTTAGCAGCGCACCTTTTCCTCGGATTTTTGATAAAAATGCCTCAACAGGATGTTCTTGGGGTCTGTTGTTATCACTGCGATTCCAGACACAAACGGTCAGGGAAATAGTGAAAATAGCAACAAAAAAAAAAGAGGTGATTTCTGTACAGTAAAAAAGAAAACTTGGAATAGTTGGGGTAGTTCTGGTAGGAATGGACGAGAGCCCAGAAAGAACCAAAACGAGGTAAAGAGAGCGAGCAACTATCGAGTCTGATCGACTACGAAAATATCTAAGAGCAGGTACAATAGCAGGCTATTAGCCAGCTGTAAACATATTTTAATGAGAGAAAGGATGAGAGAGAAGAGCAGCGGGCTATAGATCTGTAGCCAGCTGCATCGCGGACTCTAAGACGCAATGTATGTATGACAGGTGTGACCATATATTAATAGTATAGTAAGCAACTATTGTATGAATTGGCTATTAGATTGGCTATAGATGAATTGGAGTTAGCAGTGGGCTATACTATTAAACTTGCTCTAATGAACTAAAGCACTCAAGAATTCACCACTATCAGAAGCAATATCCCATGCACAGGAAATTCAAGAGGGAATAGGCAGCAAAAATACGGAGGGGCTGTTCAGATTGTTGCCAAAATAAACCTTACCTAAAATTTTAGCAAGTTGACAATATTACCAAAATTTTGGCAGGATTTCTTATGTATTTACCAAAATTTGGCAACAAACCAAATGTAGGCACATTTTTGGCAACTTTGCCAAAAAATGATATGGTTGAAAATGGCATCAATCTGAACAGCCCCTGAATAAACTGGAAACTAAGGAACTAGCTCCATGCCTGCAACGGACCAATGAAGTACAATGTTTACATAGAATATCTAAAAACAATGTTCTTTTTTTTTAGATAATGGAAATGGTTTACATCTTTGGCCTCTGCCAACAGGCACACGGGCAATGAGTCGAGAAGAAAAACTGTGTTCTATAAATGTAACCATCCAAATCATATTGGCAATATGGCATAAACAGAACACTTCAATAAAACTATGTTGGCAGCACTAGAGGAAGATGACTAATATGAGAGGTTGCTTTGGTTGGCCAGTTCATTTGCTCCTTACTAATAAATTGCCCAGCTTGCCTATAGTTTTCTTTCATTTTTCTTTTGTGGAGATGGTAAGCAGCATGCAATCAATTTTTTACTGAATACCTGTACCTGAAATCTGGAGATAGTTCAGTGGACAGGCCTGAAAGCAACCAGGATGTTTGGTGGTTCGGCCTGGCCTGCCAAAAGATTAGGCTAGGAGGAAAAAAAGGACTTAACAGAATGCTCATACAAAATTGTAATAGGTACACATAGTGGGTCAGAGCAAAGTCTCTGAGGCGAAAATACTAAATTATGTTGATTCATCATTAGGAAACTCCAACCTCTAGTCCAAATAGATGTTGCTCTAGCATGTGTTATTCCAAAATTTGATTGCTAAAATTATAAAAGCATTTAACTTATCAAATCAATTCAAGGGGACTCAACTATGAAGGTGTAAGATCAGGTTTAGTTGGTCTTTCCAGTTTGCCGGCTAGGCCCTGGCTCTCTGACTCTCAACCTTTTCTGCTCTCCCTCATAAAGTCATACTCCAAGAGAAAAGTTTGCTTTGAAGCTATAAAAAATGTACCAGAACAAAGGTCGTAAGGGAACTACTTGAAAGTAAGCTGGGCAAATTAGCCATAATGTATGTGAGTTACATATCAAGAAGCCAAAACTACAGTCCTAGGGAATGCAAAAAATATTGACTTTGAAGACATATCTAACAGTCCAACAGAATCTATTCATGGATCTATCACTCAGAAGATACTAAAGAGGCTGCATTACTGAAAACAGTATAGATGATTGGAGTTAAATATGCCAGCCATGAAAGGCAAGATAGTCACTTTTTGGCTCAGACCAAACAACTCAGAGGATCTGCTATGCCATGTAGAGTACTACTGTAAAAGGAATTTGATGCAATGTGAATGAGCAGTCACATTCAACTATACACATTTGAACGTTTAGGAACCACACACTCAGAAGTGAGGAGCAGCACAGGGAAATCAGCATTGGTAAAAGAAACAAGGGAGCAAGATACCTTGACCGGGAGGTGGATCCGTCCTGTGTGTTGCAATGTAAGTGGCTGGTACGACATTCTGAAACACAAAAAAAATAGGGATAAGTATTGGCAGTTTCGCACCAATGCAACATGTCCGGACTCCAGAGAATAAGTTACCAGCTTGATACTCTGACGAGAAACACAAATATGACAAACTGAATATATGCTTTGCAAATTACAATGCAAGTGGCTGCCTGGAATGACATTCGGAGCAAAAACCGACTAGTAATTCATCACCACAACTGAAACCTTAAAGGGCGTTGGCCATGAGAGAAACCAAATCCTAAATGTATAATCCATGATTCACAAATACCTCCCAAATGAGATATTATGATCCAACTATTTGGCATTGGGACTTAGAAACAAATAGTACTAACCACCTTTTGTTAATCATGCGCACTGGAATTTCAGACACACGCTCTGACACACAATAGGACTGACTAGAGGTAAAGCTCCGGCGTGAGGGATCAGGCACACAATTCATGGCATCATCAACACAATCAACCTAATTCTGAATTGTACTTGGCGGTCGGAGGCATGAGATCACGACAGCTAAGCACAGAGATCGATCGCGAGTGAGGGGGGACAGAGTCACAGAGGGGCTGACCGACCAAGGGCTGCGCGGAGGGGTCGGCGGGGACGACCTGGCTGAAGTTTTGCGGGTTGTAGGACGGCCAGCCGCCCAGGGAGCTCTCCATCGCCGCCGCGGAGCTCGCCGTGACGTCTCCGACTCCGACTCCGGCGACGCCCCCTCTTGGTTTCTCCACCCTTTTCCAGCGACCATGGATTCGTGGAGGACTATAATGGAGCACACAGAGTCAACATTAACTTTTGGGTTTCGGCCCATTATTGCTATCTTTTGGGCCTTAGATTTCACTGGCCAAATGGGCTTTAAGGCCCATTTTCTACCTATACATTTGTGCTTAGCGTTGTCTTGTGTAATTGTGTTATTATCAGATAATACCACGATTATACGAATGAATTAATTCTTTTAGATAATGGAATGTAACATTCCAGTCTTTACTCAAAGAGTTACAGCCAATTATTACAGAACTCACACAGAACAAAACTCACATAGAAAGTTCACGATAGCACAAACAAAGCTAAGCAAACATAAACTAATACACACCAACAGAAGAAAAATATGCCATAACTATTGAATTGTATTAGAGAACCGCCACCCGAAGTTGGCAAATATATGCATAATTGTCGTCAAACGAATGAATTAATGAATTAAGACAGACAATAGTACAAGATTCATAAGTTCTTTTTTTCGAAAAAAACAAAACACAATACAACCACGCACGTTCAATTACATACGAGCCCACTTACCAAATGCATACATATATACATACCCTATCCGTATAACCACCTTTAAAAGTATGTCTTAATAATGACAAAGTCACCACAAGCTTCTCGCACTCATCGAATGTGCAGGTAAAAACGCATTCGAGGATTGGACCGGTATATTTTAAAATTGATAAAATCATCACCGACGTTTTCCTATCAACGTATAGATTGTCTATCACTAAAATAGTATATGTACTAAGTTTGCAACTTGAATTCAGATGGTGGGTTCAAAGGACCTTGCCACAACCACAACCCACAAGGGACAACAAGGTTACCCGAAAATGTGAGTTCTTTAAAAGCAATGAGTTTTGTTTCTGTAAATAGGGGTGATAGATCCATGATCTATTGTTGCAAGTAAACCGCAAGATAAGATTCGTGCAGGAGCCGTATCCTTAGACAGATACTAAATCAAGTCAGGGCTAGCTCAGAGTCTCGATCATTAAGAAGGGACAATTGCCGCTAATCCGACAGCGATCAGTAGCCTGTCCTTTCTGTTACCAGTCGTGGGAGAGTTCGGATTCTCCACAATTTGTCCAAATGGAGTGGTATATCAAGGTAAGCTGAAGAGAGAGGCCGGCGTTTCATCATCCATTGTTTTTTTTCCTGCTGTATCGAATCGTACAAAGAAACAAGGAGACGGTCTCTTTCTAGTATCGATTAGGCTGTGACCTCCCATAAGTGATACAAGAACCGGCATGCTGACATTTCAAGAGGATGCAGATGCAGACTGAAAACTGAATTATTGACATATATGACGACATCTATGTACGAAAACCTTGAGCAAATTGGCTAAGTGAAACAGCGAAATCTAAGATCTTTTTCGGCGGATTGATGGCGTTTCGAGGGTGGCCAAGGGCCCGTCTTTGCTGTTGGTTACGGTCAAGGTATAACTGCTTGCGAGACATCATGGACTATTCTGTGGCCATCGATGTGGGGGTGTTTGTGTGAGTGATGTGAAGATGCTGGCGAAAGCCTTGCCGGGTCTTGGGCCGGTTCGACGACGACGGCGCCCATGGGCGCCGTTTCCCTTCTTGGAGGCGTTGTCATGGCATTCTTTCATATCCCCACAAATTTCTAGGTGAAAACCTCCTTCCGACTTTCGAACGAGCGGCGGTGGCGTTACACGTTGTGTCCTCCTTGGGGGCGTCACTTCGGAGAAGTTCTAACGCATCGACGACTGTCGATAGTCTTTTTCGGTTCAAAAGCTTTCATACCTTTTGTTCGGTGAGGCCTTCGCCTTCTTGGGTCCGCTTCTTTCTTGTGGTGGGCAACACGCTCTTCGGTTGTTTCTGCTAATGAAGTCGAAGCTGCTTGCTGATGGGGGTGCGGCGACGCTCGGCAATGATGACATGTTGCAGTCTCTTCCAAGGAGCTCTGGTGCTGGCCGTGTGAAGGAAGTTGCTCTTCGGTGGCTTGGCTGACGTCCATTGTTGGATGTCGGAGCTACTTTTCGCTTTGGTGACTTTCGTGGCTTCAGTGTTGCTGCAGTTGTGGAGTCGGCGCTGCTAGGTCGCTTGGGCGGCTAGCTTAGCAATGGTAACACCTCTTCTGCAATGTGGGAGCTGTTGTGTCGCTTTTGTGTTTAGTTTGGCAGTGACGTCCTACGATTAGGCTCCGCCGTCGTTGTTAGTTGTGTAGAGCGGAAGGTTTTAGCTGGTTTTCCTGTAATTAACCGTGCAGCTGTATGGTTTTTGGGCCCGGTTTTCCTTATAAACTGGGTCAATTTTTTTTTTCTAAGTATAACAGTGGAACAAAGTTCGGCATTAGGTTAAAAAAAGATCTTTTTTGGGGCTTGCGAGGTTTGGACAAATTTTAACTTATAAGAATGTATTTACATATTAATCTGTAATAATTTTCAGGAGGCTTTTCCCTCCTAATGTAGATAGAGTTACCCTCATTATTATTTGATGGCACATACTGCACTAGTATATATGATAATAAATGCAGACATGCAAATAAACAGTTAAATGTGAAGTGTATAGCACATGTAAGTAAAGTAAAAAAAAAACTCAAACCTGCACTAGTAAATGTAGTAGAACAAGTATGTAGGAGCAAAGTATGAAAGTTAAAATGATATGTATACATGAGAACAGGGGGAGTAGTAGTGGCTCAATAAAACCTCCATGTTTAGTCCTTAATTAGAAGCAGATGTTGTTTGAGAGAGATACCAATCACAATAACTTTAATAACATTTTAATCCTGAATAACTTATACAGTTTCATGCTGTATATCTTGCACGACTGGAGCGATGAGGACTATGTGAAGATCTTGACAGTGTGCAAAAATGCTATTTGTTAAAAAAAAGCACCATGAAAAATTAATATGTATGAAGCTATGCCGAAACAATAAACCTAAATAAATGCATGCCTATCCATATAAATTTTAACCCGCTGACAACCCGACAATGAGTTACTGCATCTATCCTAAAATATAAAAAAATTAGGATTAAATACATGTATTACGAAAGTAGGCAGAATACCAATAATAAGTTATCATCTCATCCAAAAATATAAGAACTTTAGGATTGAGCACATGTATTATGAAAGTATGTAGAATTAAGTAAGAGAAAGTTGTGATTCATTGAGAAAACGAAGTAGGTAGAGAAATTAAATTAGGAAATGTTATTATTGGTTAAAAAGAGTAGAACTACTATTAGGAGCGCTAGAGCGTGGAATATTGTTCATAGCGCCAAACATGCGTTAGCCCAGGCCCACCCCACCCCACGTCCCGTCATCCCACTCCTACCGATCCGAGTAAATTGTTTACTCCGATCGGGTGCCTCTACCACCCACCTTTATTTGAGTAAACAATTTACTTCGATAATAAAAACAACTTCCATGCTTTCGATCTCACCCCATGTCCCGCATCGTGCACCCACCATTATCGGAGTAAATGATTTACTACGATAAAAACAACTTCTCTGCTTCCGGTATATATTCTATTTTTCCCGTACCCAACCAACCACTCTCGCCCCCACTCCGTTTTTTCCTTTTTTTTGGATCTGAATCGATCCACCATCCCAGCCCACAGATCGGCGACACACCATGAAGGACGACGACGACACCGTGGTGGTTGATGGCGGTGGCCGGCGAGCAGTGGCCGGCGGCGGTTGAGGTGAAGGCACTACTTCAGGCCTCGCTGCTGGACGCTAGGCAGCACCATAACCAGCAAGGAGGTGTTCACCTGAGCCAATAGCAACAACCAGCGGCTACTCCACGTCGGCGACATTGATAGAACAAGCAAGTAAGGAAATGACACTCTAATTTGCATCTGCATACTCTCTTTCAACTTCACGCATGAAGCCCTAATTTTTTTTGCAAATCAAATTAACATGTAATCTCCAATATTACCTGATCTCAATTGATAGGCTGCACAGGTCCTACATTTGCACATCGTGCTCCATGTAGCTGGCCGCAGAGGTTAAGGTGGAGTCCACCGGTGATGGAGATTGTTTGCTATTTTTCTTTTGCTCGTCATCTGTATTGACATGAACGAGAATATTTTTACATTTTTTTGTGCTTGTTAGATGATGGATGGCTGCTACTGTGCAACGTCAAGCTCAACTCTATACCACACCGCTACATTCTTCCATGATTCCATGATGGATTTTTGGCTGAATCATTTTTTTTCTTTTCTAGTTTGATTCACCTGTGAGTAATTTTATCGCTTGTGTGTGATTGAGCCTGTAATTTTTTTCATTCATACAACTATTTTGTGATACAGATCAACAATACTCTTAGTACCAGTTTTTATTCTTATACTGTATATTGAACACATCAGTAAACATATTACTACATGGTGGCTATGAGATCATGGCTATATCGAGAGGAATGTGGAAATTGTTTTACTCGCAGACCACAAAATCTAAATAATATTGGTAAAAGAATTACTAGCGTTGTAAGCTTGTAGTAATTCTTTTACGACCATTTAGGTATGGCGTCATACGATGTGGAGACATTCATGAGAATAAATTTGTTACTTTAGAATGAGCAGATGTGGGAGGCTGGGAGTAAATGAAAAATTCCACGGAGTAAATTCGTTACTTTTCAAACGTGCGGAGATACTAGAAAAACGGAAAACTCGGAAAGAAAAACTAGACGGTAAATATTTTACTAAAACGCGAAAACAGAAAAACTATAGAGAAGGAATGAATAACAGAAAAATCTGGATGGTTAATATTTTACCTGGACCATTGATGAAGCACATATAAGATGGAAAAGAGAAAAAAAGAAACACGGAAGGTGGGGTGTTAAAAAACGAAAAAAAACGACCCGAGAAAAGGTGGGATGCGGAGGAAAGGTGGGGTGGTAAAAAACGAAAAAACCGGAAGTAGAAGGCGGTGTGCAGCGCTCGAATTATTATTCCGCGCTGTAGCGCGTGGAATAGCGCTACCGTAAAAGAGAGTATAAGTGAAGATGTTGCAATATTTTAAGGTAAATTTTAAATGCTAGAAGTTGTTATATTTTAGATAGAGAGAGTAGCTAAAGTTATTTCCTTTATGTAACTATACATTGAGAGCGTTCATATTAGCCACAATATATCTTTTATTAAGAGAGGTCAAAGATGATTCATCACAATCTCTTTAAAGACCTATAGATGTCAGAACAAAAATAAGAAAAAATTACCCTGTAAGATCATGGTGAGTTCATATTATAACGGTATAGATTCATCTCTATAGGTGTACAAGTATAATTGTATCTAAATAAAGACATGCTAATAGCTGCATATCAAACTTAATTCTTTTTTATATATTTTATCTATATAACATGAGTTAAGAGTTGTTTATCTCCGATTCAATTTTAAAGGTATATTCCTGTGTAAAATTGTGTGAAAAAAAGCTAGTTTGCCAAAATGGAGCACATGGGGCTAAGCTGACGAGAGAGGCCAGCATTTTCATCCTCTACTATTTTCCAGGTCTTTTGAATCGTGCGAAGAAAAAAGGGGATCGTCTTTTTCCATGGATCTGTAAGTCTTCCATATACGCACCGTCATGCTGACATTTTCAGTGATCGGATGAATGGCGGCATATATCTGGGACCAAATAAAACCTGGTGCAAATTGGCTCCACGAAAGCCAAGATCTTATTCAGAGAGTAATCGCCATGGAACATGGTGAGATTGGCATATACTATGTAAGTTGGACAGTTGGTCGATCAAGTCATCAAACAACTTACAGAGAAGATAAGGTGCGAATCGATGAAGCTGAACCATGAGTGCAAAAACGTTCGTAAAGTGTATTGACGTACATTCATTGAATTTTCAGGGGAAATTTGTCTCTAAAATTGATGAATCAAACATTTGAAAATTTCAGAGAAATTTTCCAGGGAATAATTTTCTCTAAACTTAACTGCCAACGTTTGGACAGTTGGTCGATCAAACAACTTCCAGAGAAGATAAGATGCGAATCGATTAATCTGAACCATGCGTGCTAAGGTTTGTAAAATGTATTGTCAAGGATTAATTGCTAACCTATAACGTACATTCATTGAATTTTCAGGGAATAATTTTCTCTGCTTGCAGACAGTCAGTAAACCCATTTATGAATACTTGATGTACATGTCCTGATTCGTTCTCTTCTCTGTCAATGTGGATGATGTATTGATGTATATGTAAGTATAACAGGGTCAGTCTAAAATTAAACACAAGACGACTTTCCCGACACGCTTACGCGCGTCGCGTTGAAAGGATTCACCGACTTATTGACTCATAGTGCAAATCTAAGTGGCATCTGCCTTTTATTTTCAAATTAGTTTGGCAGCTGAAGATAAAGCTTCCGGCTAACTGCTAGGTTATGGGGCTAATAACACACGAGAAGATAATATAACTGAACAGACACCACTAACTACAGAAAAGGTTGCACATATGCAAATGGAAAATGACATGCCCCATTACCAGCACTGTGCGTGATAACCTTAATATACCCACTTATCCCTCTATTTCTTTCCTGCTTCAACGTGGAATTGGGCCATGCACGTTGTTTTCATGGCCTAATATGTTTCCTGATTTGTTAATCGTGACTCAATCGCTGACCAAGCTCAACTCTGATATTGACCAAGTTAGGTAAAGTAGGGTAGTATATCTTAGATACACTCGATAATACAGTAATACACCGATAAGTGGAATGTGATTTCAACCCTAAAATTTCGTATTTAATTCTCAACACGCTTATAATTTCTTCGTGAAACCCTTCCAAATCTCATTTTAGGTAAAGTAGTGTATCAAGTAAAAAACAAGCCAAAAGGAAAACACTTGTTTTTTTTAGTTTGTTCGTTCGATGATGAAGTACCCACGTTCCACTCCAACAGAAGAGGCCAAACTAAAGATCAGGCATGCTGTCCTAAGAGAAAATCGAAGGTCAGACTGAGTCCTACACACCAAGGGTAGCTTCTGAAACGGCTGGGATGATGAACAAAAGGGTGTCTTTTGTGCGCAGCATCTACCGGCCAATATTCCTTTGCAGGCGTGCGCCTGGTGATTCACCACCAGCAGCCACCGGATTCTCCGCCTTGCAACCCATGCAATCTCGAGAATATGCTGCATCATGAAACTATTCTTAATGCCGAGAACAACGAGAGAATCATTCAGAGTTCAGACATCTTTTCGACAGTCATATGCTAGCTCCTGCTATTAGAGCAAATTTAATAGTATAGTCCACTGCAAGCTTAAAATCATCTATAGTCAATCTAATAGTCAATTCATACAATGGTTATCTAGAAATGTATACTACACTATTAATATTTGGTCCTATCCGTCATACACACATTGCGTATTGGAGTCCGTGCTGCAGCTGGCTACAAATCTGTAAGAGCAAGTTTAATAGTATAGCTCAATACAAGCTCAAAATCATCTATAGCCAATGTAATAGCCAATTCATACAATAGTTGCTTAATATACTATTAATACCTGATTCTACTTGTCATACATACATTACGTCTTGGAGTCCGTGCTGCAACTGGCTACAAATTTATAGCCAGCTGTTCTTCTCTCTTCCTTTATCTCTTTAAAATATATTTATAGCTGGCTTATAGCCTGCTATTGTACCTGCTCTAAGAGTAAGTATAATAGTAGGCTATAAGGTGGCTAAATGCTGAGGTGGAGGAGAGAGAAGAGAGAGGAGAAGTGGGCTGTAAACTTACAGCCGGCTTGGATACAAGAACCAAGAAACTCTGTGAGAGAGACAAGCGGGCTCTGTATTAATTGTAAAGAGCTAACTATTATATAGGCAGGCTAAGAGAAGGCTACAAATAACCTTATAGCCAACATGTCGGCTGTATTATTAGAGCAAGTACAATAGCAGGCTATAAGCAATCTATAACCACATATCAAGAAGAAAAGAGAAGAGAGAGAAGAAAGCGGACTACAGATTTATAGCCAGTTGCAACACGGACTCAAAGACATTACGTGTGTATGAGATATGAGACCGGGTATTAATGGTATGATATATTTTTATAGTTAACTATTGTATGAATGAGCTATTAGATTAGTAATAGATGATTTGGAGTCAGTAGTTAGCTACACTATTGAAGTTGCTCTTAGCCTTGCTCTAACCCGCTTTCTTTTCTCTCTTATCTTTTCTTCTCGATACGTGGTTATAGCTGGTTTATAGTCTGCTATTGTACCTGCTGTTAGAAGTATTCTATCCATGTTCACGTGTGCTGGTGGTGATCATGTCCGATCCCAGCTCAGATGGGCCTAAATGAGCGTGCAATTCTTGGTCCTCGGAATAGGAGCTGTGCATTGTCCATAGGAGTACTTCATGATTAGAGAGTATTGGGCGTGATCGACCAAAAAACTACACAATCTGGGGCATCCTTTTCTTTTATTAGACCGATATAATTAACCATGCATCATGCAATGCCAAGTGCCCAAGTATATTGCTTTCACCACAACGAGGGTTCACGCTTTAGCTTTTGTCGCGCTCATTCAAGTAGCACCATCCACAATAATCAAAGTAACTTTCCTTTTGACTGAACCTGTCGAGAGTAGTAAAAAACAGAGACCGTCACGCTGACGACCAGCGGGACAGCAACCGCCACGTGGGCCCCCACGATGCCGGTCGGTCAGCAGATCGGGCAGGCGAGATTTGCCCGCACGTTTTGCCCTCAAACCCCTGATAGTACGTGCCTTTGACAGCAAAAGAAGCCGTGGCAGATCGACCCAACAATGTGTCATCCTCCTGCCCCCATCGCACACAGAACCCCCCTTGCGTGAATTGCATCGCGAGAACCCGAAACGCCTCGTCGGTTTAGCTGCAACGTAGATTCACCGATCGATCGATCCCTTCCACCACGCTCCACTCCACCGGGGGAGGTAAATCCACGGGAAAACGGGTGTAGTGAAGCGAGCGAGGCGCGCACCAACCGCAGTCACCACCACCGGCACCCAACACCCAGACGCGCGGCTCCCCGGTTGCGCCGCACTCGGGCTGTTTGGATGGTATACGAAGTTTATCATCATTCATCATACTTTTTACGTCACATTTGTTTAAGTTGTGGCTTACAAGTGTCACACTTTAGGGAGTTAATGACATGTGAGGTCATAATAGATGAGAAGAAATCTTGTCATAAGTGTGGCTATAAACCAAACAATAGACTAACTTAATCAATCTTGTCTACTGGTGTGGTAATCTTTAGTAACCTTTAGGAATTAGGATCAAACCAAACAGCCCCTCTGGGGAGAGGCCGTTACGTTATCCCACGGGGGAAAAATACGAGAAACCGCAACCGAAAAGAGAGGAGGAAAAGGGAGCCGCGCGCCGTCGACGCCGTGCCACTTAACCAACCAGCCAACTCAAGCCCCGCCCGTAATAAAGCGAGCCCCCCGCCGCACGCACGCACGCAGCCGAGACCACCCTGCTGCAGCTGCTGTGCTGCGCGGGTTAAAAAGAGAGAGATCTATTAACTGGCCCTCCTCTCCCACAGCAAACACACTCGTGTCGTACTGAGCATCTGAGCTCGGTGGTTGCCGAGGAGGATTCGCCGGCGGCGGCGGCGGGGGGGAGATGTCGCAGCATGCGGTGTGCTGCGGGGCGATGTTCTGGGTGTACCTGATGTCGTGCGTGGGGCTGGTGATGTTCGCCGGGCTCATGTCGGGGCTCACCCTCGGCCTCATGTCGCTCAGCCTCGTCGACCTCGAGGTCCTCGCCAAGGCCGGCACCCCGACGGACAAGGACAACGCCGGTACGTCCTCCTCTCTCTCTCTCTCTCTGCCCCCCCTAGCTCTACTGCTGCTGCTGATCGCTGCGTGTGCGCGCGCGCGCGCAGCCAGGATCCTGCCGGTCGTCAAGAACCAGCACTTGCTCCTCTGCACCCTCCTCATCGGCAACTCCCTCGCCATGGAGGTACAAATCTCTCCTGCTGTTTTTCGATCCCCTGTATGCACGTATCCAGATTGGAGCTGATGGCTTTGTGGCGGCGGCGTGTGCGCAGGCGCTGCCGATATTTCTGGACTCGCTCGTCCCGTCCTTCGGCGCCATCCTCATCTCCGTCACGCTCATCCTCGCCTTCGGTGAGGTGAGGCATTGATCCATCTCGCGTGTCCATGGACTATGGGTTGCTCACTTGGGGTTTGGCTGGCTGATTCGGTTTCTCCTGTGGTCGCAGATCATGCCGCAGGCCATCTGCACGCGCTACGGGCTCAGCGTCGGGGCCAAGGCGGCGCCCGTTGTCCGGGTACTCCTCATCGTCTTCTTCCCGGTCGCCTACCCAATCAGCAAGGTGCGCCTGCTGGCTTAGCCTGTTTCGTTGCTCTTGTTTGCTTGCAAAGAATTTGGGGGAGGAATTGGAACCTTGTAGTTGGTCACTTGGCCGGGGTGTGCTCACAATTTGGATTTGGATGGGACACTACAAGTGGCTGACCGCGACTAGGACGCAGATCGGTTACTTACTGATTCATTAATTAATTTTCCAATCAAGGGACTTGTCCCATTCTCATTTAGTCATCTGTCTACAAAATTCTTTGTAGCCGGTGACTAATTAATTAGTAAATGTAATCTGTCCCATTCCCCATTGAACCAGAATAAGCAATCATAGCCGTGAAGCAAGAACCCTGTTTTAGTGTTCTTTTTTCCTTTGCCAGACTAGGAAAAATGCCTTCATAAGCGTGTTTGATTGCTCCTGAATAATTTTAGATGAAGCAATTCAATTCGCTTCTTAGTTTAATTATTTCCTGCTAAACTAATTGTTTTCTGAATCATATTTTACAAAGAAAAAAGAACAGAATTTAATTGGGGCTGAAACACAGCGAACTACTTATTGTCGCAGATGAATGTTTTGAGTTGCATTCAACTAACCATTTCCTTGTTTCTAATGCAAAATTAGCTATAATTAGAGGATGCATAGATATGCTTGTGTTTTCCACTAATGCCATGTCTTAATTTGATTCATGTCCATCTTTCCAGTTGTTGGATTGGGTACTCGGAAAGGGCCATGTTGCACTTATGAGGAGAGCTGAGCTAAAGACTTTAGTCGATATGCATGGTAATGAGGTAGGTTTTATTCTTATTCTCTTATGCATTTCTGGTAAGTTGTAGCTCTTTACACTATGTAGTTTGCATCAATAGTGGTTTTTTTTGGTTGCAACAGCTGTGTGCGGCGTCCAAGAGTTGATCTCAAGAGGCCATGTTCTATATAGATTCTAGACAACTTTTTATGACATGTTATAGCACCTTAAATGAGTCCGGTTATAATATTTGCTGCTATATGGACAATATGATTGGGCATTTCTACATGCCTTGAATATTTTCTTCTGGCTCTAATATACATATATTCTCTGGGCTACTTGTGTTTGCAATAGCTATTGGTGCTTTCCTCAGACAAATATGAATACCATTAAACTTCTGCTGGTTCACTTGTTCTTAGGCTGGCAAAGGTGGAGAGCTGACTCATGATGAAACCACTATCATTACAGGAGCTTTGGAGATGACTCAAAAGACTGCAAAAGATGCCATGACTCCCATATCTGAAACCTTCTCACTTGATATAAACGCTAAGCTGGACCTGTAAGAATATTCCAACTATTGTACGTGTTTTGAATGACACATTCTATTGATGCTACTGTTCTCTTCTTGATAGGCACACAATGGGTATGATAATGACCAAAGGGCATAGTCGTGTTCCAATATACTCTGGGACTCCAAACAATATTATTGGCCTTATATTGGTAGGCTAAACTTTATGTATTATTAACTTTTTTGGTGCCAAAAATCCTGTTCCCTAGAAACTTATGACTTTCATGTTATTTACTCTTGGATGCATGTTGTCAATGATCAATCTTTGTGGCTTGAGTTGCCGGTTCTAACTGCTGTGTCAGTCACACTTTTTATTGTGAATAAGATAGCACATTACAGATATTCGATACTGAATCTGCTAGCCCATTTCAGTTTTAATAGATAAATACTTGAATTAGAGAAGAATGTTTTTGTTGTGATGAAATATATTTTATAAATTCATTAATGATATTCTAGTTCTCTGGTTAAAGGAAGCCTTTGCAGCAGTCATTCAACCATGACACGTCGGTAATAAAATTGTCATAAAATAATTGTTTTCAGTTGATTGTGGGATCACATACTCTAACGAAATACAGATATGAGTGACTAATTTGGCAGAGTCTTGTGTACTTCCACTCAAGCTGCCCTTAGTTATTCAAAACCTGAGGCAACATTCACAAATTTAAGCCTTTCTAAACATGCCCTTATGATTGCTTATATTTTTGCCGGGTCGGCCGAAAGATTTGGTCGACCAATTTCATTAAGTGGGGGAAAAGATTTAATTGCCTATAAGTAATTCACTTTTGGAAAAATAACAACAATAACTTTCCCGATCCTTCCATTACTGTCACTTCCTGGACATCCTATATCCCAATGAAATAGCCAATCTTGCCACTTTACTTTCATGTGTTTGTTATTTACTATTTGACCAATAAGCAAAGACCATCTCATTTTCAGGTTAAAAACTTAATTACTTGCCAACCTGAGGATGAAGTGCCCATTCGAAATGTTACTATCAGAAAAATCCCAAGGTATGATCTTTTATTGCTTTATCAAATTGGCTGTTTGCCCCCTAGGCCCCTACTGTTCCTCCCTAAAAAGCTACTACTATGTTTTCATTGGCTTGATTAAAAAATGTACCCACTATTAACTTTCTCTGAGTCTGAGTTGGAAGTCAAAATCTCGTGCAGATACATTAGGCATGCTTCAAGAAAGCTCAAGGCTACGCATATCTACTACTACTTAAAAAATAAGAGGTGCTTCCATCGTCCGTCAAAAAAACCGGGTGAAAAAAAACCGGAACGAATCCGATTCATCAACGCGGTAAAAGAAAAATCGGGAAAAAAAAAGAATATGTCCGATTCCACAAAAATAGGAAACAAACTCCCATCTGTTATACCAAGTCCTATTCGGTTAGCATCACCAGGAGAACCGACACCATTCACAGAGAGAGAGAGAGACGACGCCGCCACCTCTCCCGCCCCCGTCGGACCGCAGCCGCCTCCATGCCGCCGAATCTGGCGGAGGCGAGGTCCGGCCCGCCGCCCCTCCCACCCCCGCCGGGCTGCAGCTGCCTCCACACTGCCGGATCTGGCGGAGGCGAGGCCCGACCGGCGTTCCATGACGTCCGCCACCACCACCACTGCCGCACCTCCCCACCATGCACAGAGAGAGAGAGAAAGAGACGACGCCGCCGCCTCTCCTGCCCTCGCCGGACCACAGCCGCTTCCATGCCGCCAGATCTGGCGGAGGCGAGGTCCGGCCCGCCGCCCCTCCCGCTCCCGCCGGGCCGCAGCCGCCTCCACGCCGCCGTTGTTCGGGGAGAGGGCGCCGCGCCGTTGGTTGTGGGGGAGGGCGCCGCCGCCGCCGCTCGCGGGAAGAGGGGCGCCGTCGCCGCCGCTCGGGGGCGCGGAGGGGAGGGCGGCGATGTGAGATGGGAGGGAGGGAAATGGGCTAGGGTTTCGGCGGCTGAGGAGAAGGAGGGGTTTTGTTTCCCCGATATCGACGCTCGGCCGTCCGATCAAAACCCTAAAGATCGGACGATCGGTGTCGTCCAGGCCGAAATCAGCCCAAGAGGGATCGAGAGTGAGGCCACTTTTCTGGCCCAAGCCCAGGTTGTGGCCTGGGGAGGGGAAGTGCACTTGCGCGTGCACAAAAGGCCGTGGACCGACCGGCAAGGGCCGGAAATAAGTCTATTTTAGGTCCCTCAGGCCCAAAAAAAGAGAATAAGTTCATTTTTAGTGCTCATTTTTTCAGAAGCATTACAACAATTATAAGTTATTGAATGTGTTTATTTCGAAGCAAACCTAAAAGGAAGTATTTTCTTTCTTTTTCCAAGTAAATAATTGTTAAATGACGTTTGTATTAATAAAATTAACAATTAAGCTCTGAAAAATTCAAATATAATTTCAAAGAGCGTAACTAATCATGGAGAATTTAAAAAAAATTAAATTTAACCATGTCATTTTATTTCTCACACTTGCTTTACTTGTAAATTTATTTAATTATACACATACCTACTTAAAAATACCAAATATTTCAGCGAATTTGTATTTTAATTAATTGCATATTTTTCTAATCTGTACGCTTCACATTGTAACACACAGGCACTTTTGCTAGACCAAACAACACTTTTGGTCAATATACACACTCCGTAATCACCCGGTGCAACGCACGGGCACTTTTGCTAGTATAACTAAAGTTGACAAGTTAAGATTATTTCCATGGCTTAAACTGAGGGCACCCAAGGTTGCTACATACTGTGATATGCTTTGGAATTGATTCAAATATGCACTTCTGAATACTTAATGCTTCTATGCTCTTCATAACAAGAGAACTATTCTCAGATATTTGGAATCTCTTATTTAAGGAAGCTATACTCCATGTTGCCTTGTAATTTGCGTGTATCTATCTCCATACAAAATGTTCGTTTGTCATCTTCTAATTTTCCTTTGGTGTTGCTGCTTTTTGGTATATCAGGGTGTCTGATGATCTTCCTCTCTACGACATTCTAAACGAGTTTCAGAAAGGTCACAGTCACATGGCTGTGGTGGTCAGACGCATAAAAGAACCAGGAGCATCCATTGAAAAGACTTATAGTGACAGATCAGATTACAAAACTAACAGCGACAGATCAGATTACAAAATTAACCACAGAGATGCCCATGCTGATGGTACATACTTTCCATTAGCCATGATGATCACTTGTTTTTCCAGGAATAAATATTTGTTTGGCTGTCTGATCATTTGAAAATACCCTCAGGTTTGTCACCCTCTCGTGTCAGCATTGCTGGAAGTCGTCGAAGTAACATTGAAAAGAATGGAGAGGTGCGCTTATATAAGAAATCAGAAAAAAAGCGGGACAATATTCTTGATTTTAATAGCGGTCCACTTCCAAGCTATTCATTGGATCAAGAAGCAGTGGGGATAATCACAATGGAAGATGTTATGGAACAATTGCTACAGGTTGGAGATATTCTTAAATACAGCTTGTTCTTAATTTATATTTTTATTTGAAAACAAAGTCTTGCATTTTTCACATCCTGATGCTTTTTTGAGGACACCATTATTTTTTCTCCATTTATACTCTTGTTTGTTGTATAAAGATTTTAGTGTTCTCCAACCTATGGGAGCAACACGTTTAATTCAGCATGATGTTGCATTTTTTTAGAGTCATCTAGTGTTTTCCAATAGTTAGAAAAGAAACTAGAAATTTTTCATAGATGTATCGTTCTTTGTAAAATATTTTCGCTTATACATGCAAACTGGCATAAACTTCTCTTGGCAGGAAGATATCTTGGATGAAACAGATGAATATGTTGATGTACATAACAAGTAAGTGGCTTGAACCCTGTTACTTTTTACTCTTAACAGAACCTCCAAATGATGAGAGAACTAACATTTCTTTGTTTTGCAGGATTAAAATAAACATGCTACCTCTGGGCAAATCATTATCACCAACTATATCTCCAAGTAATGGGCCCCATTCCCAAGGACTCAGGAGGACCCCTATGACTTCTCCATTGTCATCATACCATCATGGTGGCTCCATCTTACGTTCCCCTGCTTCAAACAATCCTCAGTCTCCTGGGACTTTGCCGACAATAATTTCTCCTGAAAGATCGCCTGCTTCTCAAGCACCTTCGCGTAGTTCACCTAATTCAACTCAGGTGAGTAGTCACTTTGTGTCTATGCGGGTTATATAGGCTATTTGTGACACATCACATCACATATTATTTTATTTTCATTTTATTTCGCCTAAATTGCAAGGAACTTATTTTCATCTACCTGTAAAGATTTAGGTTGTATTTTCCCCTTGAATGTGAAACAGTTGTTGGTGGCCTACATCATACCATGCTCATTGTTCTTCTGTTTCCTTCATAGGTCTCAAGGAATTCGTAAAACGGCGTTGAGAGCTAAAGAGCTCTAAGGACAACGTTTCCTGAGAAATGGTAAAATGTCAACATAAACAGATTAAGACATTTTGAGCTTAGGACTGAATTATACAGATCAGCATATCTCTTGTACTGTTGATGCTTATTTGTTGATTACATGCTTGTATATACGTATGGCTTAGCATCTGGACATCGCTATAGATGGAAGTCTCACTACCTACTGTAGATGTATTTTTGTCAGCTTGCAATTACCATTGCAGAGGAAAGCTTGAAGATAAAAATGTAAAAGGAATGCACTAGTATGCATTTGTGCTGTTCTTGTATGCATGCCCCCATCATTTTAATGATCAGCAAGCAGATGTTGGTGCATTCACTGATGGCTATCCACACCATTTAAGCACTGTACAAGTCCTCTCATATTGTATCAGAAATTCAGATTAGTGATAAGGCGCAAGCTTATGTTTGTGATGCTAGTTTGGTGATATTGAGCAGAGTGTTGTGACTAAAGTCAAAGTTACATAATGAGATCAGATCATAAGATTGCAAAGGGCAAACCTCATAATTATCGAGTGGGCCATCAAGAGAGAAGCTAGTGGATCAGCCGGACCATCAAGGACAGTTTTACCTGAAAAGATAAAGGGAAATGTAGGGCAGAGAAATCCACTTCAACCTTAAAAAAAAATGTACCAGACACATGCTCCTTCCGTAAAAAAAAAACAATATAGAAGGAGACGTGACCTCTCCTAGTATAACGGTGATCTCTCCTAGGTTGCTTTTTTTTTTCTTAGGACGGAGAGTGTGTATATAAGTGACAGATCCGAGACGTGGTTCTCGATCCGACGACCCTCGGTGATCGCAGTTCGCTCCTTCTATACTTTTACGGTTTTACCCTGTTGTATATGAACAGAGGACGAACATGTAAATAAATACTACTTCCGTTTTTTTAATAGATGACGCCGTTGATTTTTTCTCACATGTTTGACCATTCGTCTTATTCAAAAAATTTACATAATTATAAATTATTTTGTTATGAGTTGTTTTATCACTCATAGTACTTTAATTGTGATTTATATCTTATACATTTGCATAAATTTTTTTAAATAAGACGAATGGTCAAACATATGAGAAAAAATTAATGGCGTCATCTATTAAAAAAACGAAGAAAGTACAAAATATTCAATGCGTGCAACCGAAGGCATGGATGAGGTCAGGATCATCCATCCGGAAAAACAAAAGGACAAAAAAGAGAAGAAGAGCTTCTAGATTCCAACGCTACGTATCCAACCGCGATCGCTTCGTCAAATCCGCGCGCGCGTCGTGTCGCGTACGCGCCCACGCCCACTCCCACGCCTTCGCGCGCGCGCGCGCGCGTCGTCGTCTCCCTCACCACTCGCCCCGATCGATCGATCGATCGAGTCGTCGTCGTCGACCCGTTTTCTCTCCTCTTCTCGATCGTTATATCGCGACCAGTACGCGCTACTACTTCTCACTCTTTGCCGCTCGTTTCGCTCGGAGTAGCCATGCTCCAGGCGAGCTCGGAGTTGCAGCAGCAGCCGGCGGCGGCGGCGGCGGCGGCCGGGATGTGGGTGCCCGGGATGAGCCCGCAGGCGGTGGACGCCGGGCTGTCGGCGAGGGCGCAGGAGATCGCGCGGAGGCGGGAGGAGATGCTCGGGATGCTGCATGACCTCCCCGAGTCCGAGTACGAGCTCTCGCTCACGGACCTCGTCGAGAAGGCCGGCGGTGTCGGCGTGGCGCCGCCTTCGCCTTCGCCGTCGGAGGGGAAGGCAGAGCCGGGCCCGGCGCGGACGGCGTCCGGCAGGCAGTCGGAGCAGCAGCAGCAGGCGGCGGCGGCGGCGGGGAGGCCGGAGAGGAGGGGGTCGGCGAGGCGGTGGGACAGCGCGGGCGGCAGCAGCTTCCGCAGCAGCAGCGACGGCGTCCTGCTCAACTTCTACATGCCACGCTCCTTCACCCGCAGCTTCACCGCGCCGCGCACCACTGGCCCCGGCCGGCCGCCGTCGGTCTCCGGCGGCCGGACCGCCAGTGTCTGCTCCGATCGCAACAAGAGGTAATCAATCAATTCTGACTCCAACTAACACTCCATCTCTATGTTCTCCATCAGTTTGATTGCAAATTAAGGAGATTAATTAGTACTAGATCACGAAGAACACACAGAAATTCGTTAGAAGAACCAACTTTTTCAACACAAATATTGTACTATTTAGTAAATTCGTTTTTATTCAGCTAGCGATAATATAGTACTCCCACAGCATAGGACCAATCAAACCCGTACATAGACAGTCAACAAAAGCAAAACGTATAAGCATCAAAGCCGGCACGGCAATTCCAAAGGTAAAGTAAAACGAGTCTACATAGAAATGGTCCTACTCTAGATGCCGCCTGCTGATCCGCGCAATCTGTAAAACGAAGATCAACCTGCTTGACTGCTTGTACGTTCCCCACATCATTCCACCTGTTACTGTTTGGTATATCCAGTAGTACATGCTACAGATTACTGTTTTACACGAGTAGTACGAGTTACTGTAAATGCGACGACCTACTCCGATGGAGAAAGCAAGGGAAGCGAGTGTCGTACAAACGGATAGATGGTTACCACGCAACCACATGAGTCGGGACAAGGGGACGCGTCCTTGTCTCACTGAATTCGTGGACCAGATAGCGTGCGCAGCGTCTGGTTTAATGCCGGCAATTCTGAGATCGACTTGCTAATCGCGACGTGAAACGAACTGATGATGACGATGATGCAGGGAGAGAGATGGCGAGACCGTGCGGTGCTGGTCGCTGCTGTGGGATCGGCGGTGGCGCAAGTCGAGCCGGGGAGATCACGGCAACGAGTCCGCCATCCGGGCCGCGATCCTCAAGGCGGCGAAACACAACGCTTCTTCCCCAAAGAAAATCTGAATGCTGCTGCTAGCGTCCATCGTTTTGGTCTTAGATAGCTAGCGCAGACTTATCTGCCTGCCACCACTGGGTGTATCAATACTAATGTATGGTTTTGTACATACTTATGAGTGTCCATTTTGTGCTTGTGAACTGATTGTGTGTGAAAAACTGAAGATAGGCATATTGGAAATGATTCCATAATTGCGTGCACATCCAGGGTATCGTTGTGAACTCAAGTTCAGTTTATAATGGGAGGCAGTCGAGATGAATCATATGTATTGTTTCTGAAGCATTTTACAAAATTGAGATGCAACATTGAACAGATATACTGTATAGCTCCGTTTTCCTTCCACGCCTTGCACTAGCACATAATGTAACGGGCACTACCAAGATCTCTAAACAAGAGTCATCTATCTCTAAATAGACTAGAAAAGAAGCTACAATCCCAACCATAACCTTATAATCTCACCCCAGATGGCACTTGGAACGAACATACATAAATATGTCACTATGGACAAAGATAACCTAAAATAATCCTTATTTGCCATCATTCCTCAGGTCTTATTGAAGAATCCCTTTTTTTTCTTTGGTGAGGATCTTATCGAGGAATTCTGTTGGCCAACCAACATCAGTCTCAGCAACTCTGTATCAACAATTTTCCGGAGGGCGTCAGATTCATATTTAGCTGACAGACAAAATGTGCTTTGCAAATATTAATTATCAGAAGTACTTACATTGGAAATCTTTATCCAGGATTCAAGTGTGTTGATGGCCTCCCCGGAGCGTTGTGTTTCCTGTGCTAACGCTACACCATCATGCAAAGTATTTACTTTACCACTGACAAGAAGAGATGCTGCAGCATTCAGCACCTATGAAGAAAAAAAGATTGATTAATGTTTTGCATAGCAAAGCAACTCAACGTGTGCAAGGTAATAATTAAGTGTCATATATGATTTGTGAAAAAAAATCTAAACAAAATTAAATCCTATCATGACAAGGATCGGTAAGCTGTTTATGACAGGGCGCACTGCAAACCCCCATCTATTGAAGAACTTCCTATGAAATATTCGTATGTTAAAGATAGGCTAACCACTGCAGAATTCTGAGTTCATTGTAAAAAAATGCATTACAAGAAGTTTAGAAGGTAGAAAGTAGAAGTAACTAGAAAGAGAGGATAACTGTAATGATTAACTTACGAGAGCATCAGCAATTGAACCTCTTTGACCAGCAAGAACATCCTGGAGAACTTTTGCGTTGAACGCTGGATCACCTCCTTTTAGATCTTCCAGCGTGCAGCGGGGTATACCAAAATCCACTGGATTGTAACATAATTTTAAAAAGTGAGACTAAAAAAAAAGTGTATCATATCGTCATAATGTATTTCAGAAGTTAGCATGCATAATTAGAAATAAGTATAATGTGCATAAAACATGCAATTGATGAGACTAAACTCGAAGACTCGCTCAAATTACACAAGTGAGTCCAATAAACAGTCTCTGTTTCTAAAAATTCTGAGAAAAACATAGAAAAAAAAACTCGTACATGGATCGAAGAGCATTTTTTCAATCTTTCTTGGTGTGACATCAAGGATATATCCAGGCCCTACAGCATTGATAAAAGAAATTCTCAGTTAAATGCAGAACACTTAGTTTTAATATTCCAAGGTATTTTTTTGAGGAATCATGGAATTTTAGCAGCAGTGTAGCACAGTGGTGAAATGGATACATTAGTATGTGTCCGTACCAAGTGGGCTTATTTCATCCAAACCCTTCGAATGGACAACCAATGCTCTCTTCATTCCAAATTTCTGAGCTGCCTTAGCCATCTTGGTAACCTGAGTAAAACAAAATATGTTCATTAGGGATGAACAATGAACACTAGATGGAAAACCAGCAACTGCAATATAGCTTTTAGCGGGGCTGACATCTCAAGAAAAAAAGCTTTATAACCATGTATCTGCAAGTCAAGTAACACAATATTTGCTAAAGATGAAGTTCACTAAAAATTGGAAAAGGAGAATCTTATATCTGAACTCTGAATTGAGCAACATCGGTTCAACAGCTCAACAGTAGATGTCTGATGCTTGCCTTTAAGGTCTTTAATATAAACTCGCATCATTTGTCAACTTAAAAACTGCCCTACACCTACTTTAAGTATAAAACCAAGACAATAGTGGTGATGATGACGATCATGTGGGTCAACGAAATATTAAATTGTCACTTTAAAAAATCTTTTCTTGCATATCATACTATTTATGCTTTGATGATTTACTAGAAGAAAAGAAGAAATGAATAAGGAACTTACTATGTTCTCGTGGTAAACACCAATAACAGCATAAGGCACCCTTGCTGGATTTAAGAGAGGACCAAGGATATTGAAAACTGTCTTTATTTTCAGCTTCTTCCTCACAGGTTTCACGATTTTCATTGCTGGATGATAGTTTGCAGACATCATGAATCCAACACCCACCTCATTGACACATCGTTTAATACCCTGAAAAAAGAAAATACAATAATATATATAAACCCCACCAGGTTTCTGATGCCATAAGATGCATATAATAGTGAATAATGTAAAATTTGAAAAGCCAGGGGCAACCAGCCTTTCTGTGCTTAGAAGAAACAGCCACATTATAAATAAATGGAGCGACTACATCTAGAATTCCTAACTACTCCCTTTGTCCACAAATATCTAGAGACGAGTCTAAATATGTAACACCATTCAGCCTCAGTTTGTGACTACAAGAACAAGCTATGTGTATCTGCACACAGTAACTTCAAATGTTGATGTTCATAATCCAATTACTGGAATCCAACAATTCAATTGTGCCTTTTTACACCGATAAGCAAACCTAAACAAATGATAGAACCATAAAGAGGCTGATCTACACATCTATGTAGTAGATCTGAGATGTCAACTAGACAAATGGGGCGTGCTTCGCACCTCAGTCAGATGAAGGTTGGAGGTACCAACCTCAGTGGTCAGCACAAATTTTCAGTAAGCTATATCTGCTTGCAGTGGCAGAGAGACAGAGGACTGGCAGGGGCCGTGGCTACCCCTATCCCCAAGTATCGTACTATTTTACGCGGTACACAATTTAGCACTAGAATGAGTATAGATCTATCATTTGGAACATGCTTATATAATTCCTACTGCATGGCCTGCTCTACAAAATTTTCTAGTTCCGCTACCAGCAGCTTGGTGGATGTGCAGCTCTGCAGTCAGCACCCTCAGTGTTGGAGCAAAGGTTTGAATTGGGTTATGTATTATGGGTATGGATACTGGTGTTGTAGTTCTAATGTAGAATCTCTCCCTCTGTTTATGTATCTCATGAACAGACCAAACCACTTGTACTGGAACTTTGTGATCCACTGAGATGCAGGTGGCCTGCTTTTGTAGCCTAACCTTTTATTCCCAGAAAAAAAAATACACATGCTGTAAACATCACACGTGTCTTTAGACGAAAGGGAGCTATGGTCTTCGACTACTCTTCATAGCCTTCTTTTCTTTGGGTGGCTTGCAAAGGGACCATGCTGTTTCAGCTTCCATTTCATATGTACGATTATGTACTTGACAGAGAAAAAAAAAGTCAAACACAGAAATTACTTCACCAAACTAAAGGTTAAAACCACACGGGTGATCTAGGCCTGCAACCCACATCATATTTTAGAGGTATTCACGAGGTAATATCACTTGCCAGTTGCCATGAAGCATGAATAGTGCTCCTACTAGTGCTACAGAGTACAGGAGTACAATATAAATGCATGAATATAAGATCCTAAAGGCAATACTAGCTCACAGGACCAGGCAGAAAGCAATCAGTGGTCAATCAGGCAAAGGCAACTACCTCGGGTCCCAACTCGATGTTGACACCAAACGCCTCCAGCACATCGGCGCTGCCGCAGGCCGACGAGCTAGCTCTGCTCCCTTGCTGCACAAAACGCAAGCGAGAACACATTATTGCATCACCACTAGTAGTACTACTACCTAAATCCAATTGGAGCACAAACTGAAGGGAAAATGGCATGCGCATGTATAATCTCCCATAAACAAATGAAAGGGGCGAGGAGCCAGTACCTTGGCGACTTTGGCACCCGCCGCGGCGGCGAGGATGGTGGAGCCGGTGGAGATGTTGACGGTGTCCGCGCCGTCCCCGCCGGTGCCGACAATGTCGACGGCGTCATCGAGCCCGTCGACCCGGACGCAGCAGCCTATCATCGCCTTCGCCAACCCCACGATCTGAGAACAAGGCGGAGAAATCTCTCACTCCCATCTCTGGACCAGAACGAAATCAAAATTAGCGCCGCGGCTGAGGCGGCGCACCCACCTCTTCGTAGGTCTCGCCCTTGGCCCTGAGGAGCACGAGGAAGGCGGCGATGCGCGCCTCGTTCTCCTCCTCCAGCAGCAGCCGCAGCGTCGCCTCCGCCTCCTCCTCCGAGAAGTGGTCACCGCCGATCAGCGTCTCCAGCACCTGACGTCACCACCACCACAACAAACAAACAAACAAACAAACAAACAAACGGCTGAGACGAGCCCCGGACCAGATGAGGACGAAGAGGGGGAGAAGCGACGAGACATTGCGGGGCGCACCTTGTCGAAGGAGGCGGTGCGGGGGGAGGCATCGGAGGCCCGCGCGGCGGTGTGTTGCACGGCGACGCGGGGCGGCGGCGGGAGGCGCGCGGGGAGCGGCCGCGCGTGGTGCGCGCGGAGGGGGAGGAGGTGGGAGACCGGCGCGGGGGCGAGGGGCTTGGCGGAGGAGGAGAGCTTGATCGACGCCGCCGCCATTGGTGCGGCGAGGCGACGCGAGGGGCGAGTGGATTCGTGCGGGTTGGGGGTGGGGTTCAGACTTCAGAGGAAGAGAGAAGCCAGCCCAGTGTTCCGTGTGTTGGTGTGAGGCGGAGACCTGCGAGCGAGCGGATTTTGTAGGGATGGCTGCGAAACTGAAACAGATCTGCTCGCCACCAACCTCACTTTTCTTTTCCACTTTTGGGTGTGTTTGGATCTAAAGTTTGCAAAATTCCATCACATCAACATGTCATACACACACAACTTTTCAGTCACATCATCTCCAATTTCAATCAAAATCCAAACTTTGGACGGAACTAAACGCAGCCTTGTTGCATAGGATGAGTACTCCCTCCGTCCCAAAAAAAGACAAACCCTCGTTTCCGTGTCCAATGTTTGACCGTCCGTCTTATTTGAAAAAATTATGAAAAAAAATTAAAAAGATAAGTCACGCATAAAGTATTCATCATGTTTTATCATCTAACAACAATGAAAATACTAATTATAAAAAAATTTCATATAAGACGAACAGTCAAACGTTGGCACGCAAACCCGCGGTTTGCCTTTTTTTTGGACGGAGGGAGTATGCAGGAATAATAATAATCTGTACTACAGTTATTGAAAGTTTGAAACTACAGTATCTGAATATCTGATCTACTGCCGTACTAACTCTTTTTATTAGGCAACTATTTCCTTAAATGGTTAACCCCCTTTAAAACGTATTATAGGAATAAAGAAATAAAGGATAGGAAAAACATATAAATTGAAGTAGCGTGTTTCTTTAATCCTATAATATGGAGTAGAAAACACAGACAAGGTTCTAAGATATCTAACCTCTCACTTAATTCTCTTTAGAATTGATTATAGGAATGTAATACTATACAAAGTTTAACGTCCTTTTCCTATAAATCAAAGGATATGGGAACTAAATGTTGATTGGTTGGATAGCATTACCGTCGTGCACGTAGCCCATCCAGGTTGGATCCTAAGCGCTCGCAAAACTGGCATGTTCCATCAATAGCTGTGTTACTGTGTATATCTGATTTATATATAGAGGCCGGATATATCCATTTTTTTTTAAAAAAATCATAGGGTATATAGGAAGAAAAATCCTAAGAAAATTATTCCTATGATTATTTTTTTTACCAATCCTTCGTGGGCCCTTAGTATAGAATTACAACATGGTGTAATTTAATGCCTCTCCAAAATGCATTTGGTACAATCACTTTGATACTTTTATCTTATAAGAAAAACCGTGTAATTTGATGTTTGGGAGTAGGTTGCAGTCGATGAGTGCTTTAGAGCAAGTTTAATAGTATAGTCCACTACTAGCTCCAAATCATCTATAACCAACGCAATAGCCAATTCATACAATAGTTGCTTACTATACTATTAATACCTAGTCTCACTAGTCATACACATATTACGTCTTGAAATCCGTGCTGCAGCTGACTATATGTAGCCCGCTGCTCTTCTCTCTCTTCTTTTATCTCTTTAAAATATGTTTATAGCTGGCTTGTAGCCTGCTATTGTACCTGCTCTTATAGGACTATGCAGCATATGTGCCATACATCCTACACTATCATCGGATTATTCCAAAAAAGAAGAAGATTATTATAGGATGAATTATTGCGCACGTGGAAATCGCGATGTTTCTACGCTTTGGTTGTTGGAGAGACAGGACGAAAAACTCGTTCTCGTGAGCTCGTCCTGCTGATGGTACTCTCCCTGCTTCTTCCGTGGCGACCTTTTCCAACGATCTGGCTGTAAGATTTTGCTGATTCGTTGCACAAACACCACAAATCCAACTTGCTCATATCTTTTGTCGCGACCACGATATACTATGTTATGTTTGAATTGATGAAACTGATGAGACTGGAAGATTAAGTTAACGCATGTAAAATGAAAAAAAAATCATCAACATACGACTAATTATGATTTAATCATTATAAATTTGACAAATAGATATTTGATATTTTAAAGCAAATTCCGTAGAAAAATTTCGCACCAATCACATCATTTAGTAGTTACTCCATACATCTCATTTTAAGTGTGCTGTGGACCTCTGTATCCAATATTTGATCATTCATCTTATTTAAAAAATTTATAAAAATATTAGAAAAATAAATCACGTGTAAAATATTATACATGTTTTATCATCTAATATCAATGTAAATACTAATTAAAAAAAATTTAAAATAAAACAAACAATCGAACGTTAGACGTAATTCGACAGCTACAAGGAGGAGAGAGTATGTGCTAACGAAAATGGACATAAAATCTAGTAATCTTTAACTAGAAAAGGACAGTTGCTCGACCGGTTCCCTATCTCGCGTGCGTATCACATGGCTTGTTTTCAATTCGAGAGATTTCGTTTTGACGAGACAGGCATGACATGACAGCACCCGTGTTTAGATTTAAAATTTAGATACTCCTTTTTCATCACATCAATATGTCATATACACAATTTCTTAGTCACATCATCTTTAATTTTAACCAAAATCTAAACTTTACGTTGAACTAGACATAAACACAGCCTCCATTAATCCGGTCAGAGAGGACAGCGAGATAGAATTATTTTTTGCCAGCCACCAGTACGTGCAAGCGGTTCGGTACAAACTACAAAGTCAGATAATGCTCGCAATTGCGTAATGTTGGATTAAAAATAGGCTACGACTTCTGCAGATAGTACAACATTTCTTTTCTCCCTTGGTGACAAGCGCGGGGAGCCGGGGAGGACGAGTAGTACGGCTGCACGGCACCGCGCTTGGATGTAGATGAATGGAACTTGACTACTAGGTGTACTCCTACCTCTCTTCCGTTCAGCTCCGGTTCCGGGCAAGATAGGTTGTTTGCTGTGCGTTCGTAGTGTTGTTGCCTGCGATGGGGACATGGGGTCACGGCAGAATTTTCCTCCAGTGGTTGGTAGATTTCAGGTTGCCGGTGTTTGCCCGGCGCCTGTGGATTACCAATAACATCAGGGAGGGATATCAGAACTGGATGTTGATTTTTTTTATATAAATAGATTTAAAAAAATCCTATTTTAAGAATAGATCTTTTTCCTCAACATCAGTTCATTAACACGAAAGTTCAATGCCTCGACGCCAATAATAACTGGCACCCTACCATAGCCCTCTGTAAAAGCAAAGTCAAATAGTCAATGATGCAAATGGGATCGGTACCAAGAATATTAGCACCAAGGACCTACTCCGTATTTATAAAATAAACTAGGGCTCGGTTTAGATTTTAACTTTTTTTTTTAAACTTTCAACTTTTTCCGTCACATCGAACTTTCCTATACATTTAAACTTTTAACTTTTCTATCGAATCATTTCAATTTCTTCAAACTTTCAATTTTAAGGTGAAACTAAACGCAGCCTAGGTCCTCAAGCGCCGACTCCTCTACATCTCGGCTGCTAGAGAGCAAGGGTGTCAGTGTCAAAACATTGGATCTTGGTGCCAGTTGTCCTGTTGCCAAGACTATTTATGAAATATTTTTTTCTAGGGGTTTATTTATAAAATAAAATTTAAAAAGGACCAGACCAAAATGTCTTGGTGACGTGTGCTTCCGCTATTACACATACCGATCACGTGTGCGCATCCGGATTCCCAAGAAAGAAAAACATTGCATAATACTCCCTGGATTCTAGGGAGCTTCGACACGAGGAAATCTGCAAAGGACAATGGCTAACAGCAGTTCACACTGCCGTCGAAGAGTCGAAGGCTTCCCCATGGGGAATACGAGCATCAAACGTGCAAGGATAAAAATCAAAACTTACTACAGTGTTGAAGGTCAGGTTTAGCAAGACAACACGTACAATCATACACTCTGTGCCCACAAGGTTCCTGTACTACAAAAGCGAAAATTGAATACTTTAGGCAGAAAAAGAGAGTTGGCAACAAACCAAACCAAGCAACAAGAACGAGTCAGTCCATTTTTCTGTCCCCAGCGGCCTAATCTAGCCACCGAGTAACTCCATCTTCTTCACTCGCAGCTGCAAGGATCTCGATACAGACGTCCAATACAGCCTACAGAACATGCAAACAGTAGGAAGCTGAGTACATTAGCTTAAGTGCTTGCACATGGGATAGGACACAATGTGACTGTTTCATTTCGTGGTTGGACGCATAGTGTGCTACTGTTTTATACAGAAAAAGAGCAGTAACCTACTTAAACAACGTTATTGAAGAGGGGGCAAGGGGGGAGGAGATGCATGAAATAATAGAAATCCTCTTTTTAGAAGCAAATGGAAAAGTTCATACCGATGAATTTCTGCAATTGATAAGTTTGCAACCCTCCAACAAGGACCCCTCCAGCATCCAGCTCTCCCAAACATCAAATGTATGACTTGCAAACACAAACTCCATCCTCCTATTAATCTTCAGCACATTTAAAAAAGTTAAATGTTAGAACATTAGCAACCCTGGGTGTCGATAAGAAATCAAAACACTTCTGTTTCTCAACCCATTTTACTACTGGAAATGGAAAAGTTGCACTAGTAGCCCTATAAATGTTGCGCATTTGAGCAATCAAACTTATTACTTTTGGTTGGGTGTATCTGCTTGTACAGTGCAACTTGTACAAGTAGAGGTATAAAACCTAAGCATTAAATAGAGGCACGGACAAGTGATGAAACAAGTCGAAGGAACAGAGGCATCAGATTAACTATGGAAAGTAAAATAGATGACCTTACAAAGCTAAGATTGAGGCCTAAATGACTATTCGATCATGAGCTTTTTGCTAAGTTTCGATAAATCTGCTAAAACACCAAAATAGAAAAGAACAGATTCATAAGTTCGCTTGGCTAGAAGTGTCATTAATTTCAAAGGAAAACATGATAGCAGACCTTAATATTTTTTTAAGCAGTAATCAGCAGCTACCAGAAAAGGAGAGATGATACCTGCAATAGTTTACCACCAGCGACGAAGGAACGTAATCCCATGGTATCCTGAAAGGCAAATTGGGTCAGTAGAAGTGCCAGTGCCAGATATGCGTCACATTAAAGTAAAATTTGAATGGGTAACTGAAGCAAGCACAAAAAGGGAAAGGCTAAAACTATATTACCTTGTTTTTGAAAGTGACTAGGAACTGAGCAGCAGGGTCCCTGTTTGTAGCATTTGACACGATATCAAGGATCCAACCACCACCACCAGCAAGTCTCTGTCTTGCAACATGGAACCCTGAATTATCTTTTGTTCTCAAGGCTACAACAAAACCATCTTTGAGTGTATCAGGATATTTCCTTCTGAGAACTGTAGGCAACTTCGTCTCAGAAGTTATTTCCATTGGGGATTCAGCAGGAGATTTCTGCTTGTATTTTGAGTCCTCAGGAGACGCAAATCGTGAACTGGAACTCAATACCTGGTCCCTTCCACTCATTGCAGTATCATCATCTCTGCGTGAGGAATAATTACTGCCACTCTCTACAGCAGATAATTCATCTGTTTTCTGTTGAGATCTGCGGCGAGCAGGTCTCTTTTTCCCTTTCTTTCCAGAACGGCTGCGCCTTCCTTCTGATCGGGGGACAATATGTTGAGATCTAGCAGATGCTTGAGGCTCTTTATGCTGGGATATGGCTCTCCTCTTTTCGTACTCCATTTTTAACTGACTTTCATCTGTCTGCTGCTCAGAATAAAAAACTTGTGAACTGCTAACCTTTTCTTCTAGCTGATCATCTTCATTTCCAGCTTCGCTAATTTCCTCATCTTCATCAGATATTGCACTACTTGGAACAGCACCATCAAAGAAAAAGGACTGCAATATCGTGATTGCTTTCTCTCTTATTTCCATCCACACTTCTTCACTGTAGTCTGCACTTCGAGGAAGAATTAAAACATTTGGCATCTCCCTTACCTATGTCAAATAAATAGTATCCATCATTTTGCTGAACAACAAGTTCTTTTTTTATAAGATGGATGATGAACAAGTGGCACCACCATAGCAATGCAGAAAAGGGCACAGTTGTTTGTCCTCTACTACTAGCATATTGGTTGTTGCTCTTCTGTACAATATGCAGAATCAAGAGAGTTCAAAGTTATCCCTAAAATAGTAAGAGCTCAACAGGTGGAGTGCAGGGAACTTGAAATACTTGATGCTAAACTAAATTAAATATTTACTCATTTTCCATATGTTTTTCCTAGAGATTCCTTTTCAACATCCGGAAGAGCAGAGCATTCTAAATGGTGATGTTTTGATCTTAGATGAATTTCATCCATCGCAAATGGCCACTTATCAACAAAAAAACACATCAAAAGCTGATGGACGTACCCACGCTTCCATCCATTGTGGACCTTCAGCACCATCCAATGCACAACCAGCTATTGTACCATCAATCAATAGCTGTTTGAGTGCACAATCATCTATAAGTTGGCAACTTCCAGTATTTACTATGAATGCTCCTGTGAGATAAACAAGAAAATTATACTGTGTTTTACGGCTGAACTAAAGGCATGATAAGCATTATTTCGGAATATATAATGCATAAAGCAGAAGAAAGAAAGGGGTTGAAGATAAACCTTACCAGGTTTTACATGCTGCAGACAGTCAGCATTAAGTATATGCATCGTGTCATTTGTTAATGTGCAGTGCAGTGAAACAAGGTCACTTGCTGCCAACAAATCATTGAGAGTATCCATTCTCCTGGCGGCAGAAGGAAATACAATGGAAGGCCGCTTTGCTTTTCCATTAGCCTTCAGTAGACATGCTAATTCAGTTAGAATAGTCAAAATAATACTTTACCGCCTAGCATTTCTTAAAATCAGTAGGTAATTGCATACAAGTGCGACAAGATATATATCATGAACTTTGGACATAAATAATGTGAACTGAACATGAATTTGGGGAGATTTCTTAATGTAACAGAAAGTTAATAGCCCATGAAAACTTTGGGGGGGGGGGGGGGTAATAGGTTAGAACCAGATAAGATATACCCATCAAGATGTTCTTGTCACAATGTCATCCCCTCCTTTGCATTTTAGCATAAGTTACTACTCCCTCCGTTCCGAAATATAAGCACTTCTAGCATTTTAAATTTGTACCAAAATATAGCCCTTCTGGTGTACTACTTGTCCCATCACCCCCCCCCCCCCCCCGAACACACACACACCAAAAAAAAAAAAGCTTCCCATATTACCCCCAAGGCCCCAACCATACCTCATCTATGAGGGGGCATCATAGTTTCTTTTCTATTCACTTAATCTTTGCTAAAACCCTAGAAATGCTTATATTTTGGAATGGAGGGAGTATTGTTCTTACTTCTTTATCCAACAGCTAGCATTCGTACCACAGCTTACAGAGAATATATAGTTGTCTCATTCAGAAAGCTGAAGAATTTTGCTAAAATACAGGGAATGAGATCATTCAGCTCACAACATTACAAAGGGACGTCTCATCATAGGCAGAAGCAGTGAGATCATTTAAGTCATAACATTCCAAATCTTTGGACTGTCTAACTGTTCAATCACCTATTCCAACTTAATATGTTCAAAGAAGTTTGTTCATAGCAGAACATTACTAATCAGAAAACAACTCATTCTAGAATTGGGGGTGAAACTGTTCCAGTCGGTTGCTAGGTGTATGACCAAATGAAATTACCACAACAACAATGCGCGGATTAAGATCCAGAGTTTTAGAGCTGTGCAAGTATACGTAGAACAGTAGTAAGAAGAGGAAACTACAGGAGCGTAGCAAGTCGTAGATCCAGTACCGAATGGCGCGGATCGAAGTAGAGGACGTCCATCCGGAAGGCGAGGCTGCGAGTGGCGAGGCAGCGGGCGGCGGCGGATCGACCAATGATGCCGAGCACGAGGCCGCGGCAGCGCCTCATGCCGCGACACATCGGCTGGACGGAGCCTAGCCACCCAGCGGCGACAGCGGCCGGGGCCGACGAGGCGTGGCGCGAGAGCAGGTGGGTCCGGCGGAGCAGCCCGAGGAAGAGCGCCATGACGGTGTCGGCCACCTCCTCGGCTCGGTTGGCGTCGACGTGGACCAGGCGGAGGCCCAGCTCCGCGGCGAGGGCGGCGTCCGCGGCGCGGTCGGGCGACCCGAGGCAGAGCAGGAGCTGCCACGGGCGGAGGCGCCGCTGCGCGGCCCGCGGGAGGAAGGCGAGCGAGGGCAGGAGCACGGCCGCGGCCGCCTCCACGCGCCCGGAGGCGACGGCGGAGAGGGGGACGTGCTCCACCCCCGCCACGCCGGCCAGCCCCTCCTGCTCCAGCGACGGGTCGTCGAGGCAGTTCAGTGACACCACCAGCGGCTGGCCCCCGCCGCCGCCGCCGGAGGCCGCCGAGCGGGCCATCCCTGCGCCTCCCTCTCGGCGCTCGGATCGGGAGCGTCGCGTGGCGCGGGTTTTGGTGCGGGCCTCCCGTCTCCGGGCCGAGGGGGGCTTTTTGTCCCGTGCAAAGGGAAGAGGAAGAAGAGGGAAGAAATGCTCTGCTGCTACTACGCTTGTCAGAGTGGTGGGCCGCACGGGGGCCACCACTCACCAGCTCACGAGGGAACGGTGCGTTGCAAACCGTCAGATTCGCATTGTTAATTGTTTGCAGCTTGTGCTTGTGTCTCTCGCGCCACTGCCAGTGACTGAGCAGATGCAAACAAATCTTGAATTATTTCTTTAATTCATTGTGATGATTCGAAAACATTATTTAGCATGGCAATATTTATGAAGATCTAGTAGCTAAAGTCCAGAAAAGATCAGTTGGCATATCCATCAAAATAAGAGAAGTTTGTTTCTTCGTACTTAATCATGGAGTTTTGGGTACCAAGTAAAGCACTCTCTGCTTTTCTTCCCTCCAAGCAAAGCCTGGTTTAGTTCCCAATTTTTTCTTTAAACTTCCAACTTTTTCATCACATCAAAACGTTCTTATACACACAAACTTTTAACTTTTCCGTCACATCATTTTAATTTCAATCAAACTTTCAATTTTAACGTGTATTAAACACACCCCGAGAGAAAGATTGCCTCACATCATTTAGCTGCCAAGGATAGACAGCTGCCCGCCGCCTGTGTACATTGTAACAAAAATGCCGGACTGAACTCAAGTGAAGAGTTAAAAGATAGAGACATAGAGTTCCATGATTTCCATCAAGTAACCCAACAAGTTAGCACAACAAGATCATGCCATCGAGCATCATCATTCATTATAGTGCATGCGCTTAATACCCTGAACATTTACCAGGCATGTGATATATCGTCACAATCAATCTAGAACAGAAAAAAGTATGCAGAGCGCAACCGGCATGGAGGCATGTTACTCCTCCGGTGCATTGATTCTGCTCAATCACACAAGCAGCAGTACAGCATGGTTGCTTTCTTCAGAGCCCTCATGAAGGGGGAAGTACCATCCATGCATCTATCAGTGAAAGCTACTAACGAACAGTATTTGTCAGTGAAAGCTACTGGACAGCTGTTCAGACAAACCAATTTGTCACTTTACGAAGCTGACATGGATTTTTCCTTCAAACAAAAATGCATGAATATTAACAGTAAGAGATGACAAAACTGTCGTGTAGTATGTTCTGAACTTCGTGCTGCTTGTTTGTCTTGACAACCTTCCAACATTCGCACATTCACTGAGTTCAACTTATGCTTCACTTCGCTATGCTACTTAACTTCAGAAACAAAATTTGAGTGTGGCTCAATTACCTTGCACTTCTATTCCTTGAACATTTCAGTGTTGCATCAGAGGCATATGCCTAAAACACACTTTGAACAAATAACCAAGTCAGCATGGTATTAAAGTTTTTTAATCAATCAGACAGGCACATAGTACCCCTAGAGCTAATAATCGAGTGTTGTTACGTTAACGGTACATAATACTGTCTGCAGCTACCAGCTACTACTCACCAGAAAGAGAGCCATCAACAGAGGGGGCACACAAGTTGTTGAAGCAAATAGGGTACATCTAGAAGAAATTGTTCATTCTCAACCTCAAGCAAGTTCGCAAGGTACCCACTGTTTCACTTTTGTGCTCATCTCACTAGGAACTGAGGTAGACCACTCATCCAAGTTTGGAAGAGGACCCGTCAATGCAACGTAATTTACACTCTCTTTCTCTGATAGTCTCTTCCAGTTGAGCTGTAATTCAGGTTTACGTCAGGTGGGCATTCTAACAACAGTGACATGGCATTGCTCGTATACGTAGCAACCCAAAACAGTTAAACAATTACCATTCCATATTTTATTGTTTTAAACTTTTCCATCATCTAGTACTAGAAACTATACAACTACAGCAGTCAAAATATGGATATTTCTGTGGTTCATGTATAATCTTACCTGCCCCGGAAATGCAGCACAGAGTGCCTTAATTGTGGAATTCTGAACCCAGGACGAAAGGCCCGTATCATTAGCAAGAGATACAGCAGCATCAGCTCCACCACAGTTAACAATGATCCGTCCATCTGGCATTAGCTTTTTCGCGATTTCCAACCAGGTTTCAACCTGTAACAATGTTGAAATTAAATCCAGTAGAAAATAAAAAACTGTGGAAGTGTTCCAAAAAGTTAAAAGAATATAGATATACAAAAGTAGCGTCCAGGAATTTTCTCTCAGCTGCACTTTTACATGTTTTGAAAAATTGTTCAAATTATTTCAATTGCAGAGAATCATATCAGCCATTTGGTCAATTAGGCTTGAAAGGAAGGGTCGCAAAGGAGAGTAATCCATGGATGCCGAAGACACTAAGGTCACGTAAGGTTTTTTGTTAAGAACACTAAGGTCACACAAGTAGCTTACTTTTGTTGGTGTATCCAAAGCACCCTCTATTGATATTGGGATGCATAAGATTTTTTGTCGACAAATTCACATATCACTATAGCAAGCCAGCCAAACTAAGGGTAATAAATCAACACATCATGAGATAAATTAAAATTTATTACAAACTTCAAGATATGTAGATATCAAGTAATTTCATCCATGCTTGACCATGCATTCAACTGATCCAAGGAATAAGAAATACATGCTCAAAAGCATGAAATCTGATGCAACCAACGTAGCATATAGACTGGTAAAAAATGAATAGAAAGAGATGCAGAGGAAATTTACTTCTTGTAGCTGAGGTATGATCTTCCCATCAGCAAACAAATCAACAACAATACCTGTACACATTAACTAGATGTTGTTAGGCCAGAAAACTTTGAGATGCACTTGATGGTGAAGTTGCAAGGAGTGTGTGGTTTCAACCCCGACGTTTTTTGTTCAATCTCCAACACGCTCACAATTTCTTCTTAAAAATTGTTTGGAGAGATGTCTCTTCCTCCAAACTCTTATTTTTTAGGCCAGAAAACTTTCAAAGCCTTTGAAAACTCAAAAAGAAAAACATTAATCTAACAGTACATGCTTTCCAATATACTACAGATAATCCAACTAGCATACTCCAAAAATGCATCATCCAAGAGCGTTGTATAATTAAATAGTAACAAGAGAGTAAAGCATGTATTCCATTTGCATCAGGTAGTAAGCACTCACCAGCAAACCCTCCTTCAATTGTCAGCGTTGTATAATTAAATAGTAACAAGAGAGTAAAGCATGTATTCCATTTGCATCAGGTAGTAAGCACTCACCAGCAAACCCTCCTTCAATTGTAGCTGACGGAGAAAGTGCATCACCAATGCGCACAGAAAGTGAACCACCTGATTCTGTTGCCTTTTCTAAATCAGATAAACCAAAATAATCCCTTGACAGTTCAATTATCTGTCATTCAGTAATGCAAACTGAGAGTAAGAAATGGGCATATGAAAATGGATGCGTGGAGCACAAGGGATAAGTCTAAAGAAAAATAATGCAAAGAGGTGCTTGAGCTAGCTTAACAGCCTTAACTAGGAATATATTACTGAATTTCTTTTTGCAACACAATAAGTAACAATGTGAAAATATTTCACTACCATCTGTGAGCCTGTGGTCACCAAACAATTAAAAAGAGAGAGAACAATGAAAAGAGTGTTCACCTTAGGATCAATCTCCCATCCAACAAGTTGCAACCAAGGATAAAATTTTAGCATCAGATGTGCTGCAGTCCCAGCACCCTGAAAAAGAAACAGGGGAAAAGACAGGAATCATAATGTGCATTGAATATCCACAAGCGTGTGAAGAGGTAAGTTGCCCGTGAAAAAAATAGAAGTGAGTTGTTCAAATGAAAAGCCTCCGTAATGCTTGTGGATGTATGCTGGAATTGTGATGTGTGCTGATAATCTAATTGCAATTGGTCGGTAAGACATCCATTCAGGCCTTCCCAAACCCTCTAAGCATGGCAGGAATTTTGCTTTTTATGCATAGTAGTTATGCAGAACAATGAAGTATGATGAACAAGATAATAGGTGAATCATGCACCAAGTGATTTACCAATCCTAGAAGAGCAACAGGACCACGTGGAACAACAGCTGGTAGGCTCACGAACTCATCCTGTACAATAGGAAAAGCACACCGTATTAAGCATTTACATTGAGCAGCCATTTTTAAAGGATGAAAAACATCATTTCAAACAGAATAGTTGGCGTAGAAATAGGATGCGTTTTGCAAAGAAACCAACCCATCACATAGATAACAAGTACCTATATGAGCATATTATAGTCTTTTTTTTTTTTTGGTACTAAACTGCTATCCAACTACCAGGAGCCTATTACTGTCCTTCTCAAAAACTTGTTTATCATGGATAGTTGACGGGATAGAGCGTCAAATTCCTAATGCATACAAGGCGCTCAACAATATTATGCTTGTATGTCAAAATGGCACATTAGTAATCTAAATTCAACTCGATCAGTTCAGATTACTCATACGATAAATGCATACCCTGTCAGCACTCCCGATTGAAATCGCTCTCAAATCTCACACTCAACTCAAACTTTCAACTGGATCAATTTGGGAACACTGGACGAACAGCTTGTAGGCATGAACCTTGGTAGACAAAGGTTTTCGTGCTTTGCTAGTTAATCTGCAGCTTTTCGGTTTTCTTCCCTCCGTTTTGAACGACAATTACAACAAGGTTAGGGCCACGATCCCATGGTGCGCTCCGTGACCGGTTAGTGGTGAATGCTATCCCATACGCCCCGGGTCACGGCGCACGACGGCACGACGCGCTCGCCGGCTCAACGGATTCAGCAAAAGCAGGCGAAACAAAACAGCAAACACCTCACATGCAATCTAAACTACGCTATAAAGATTAGAAGCAAAGGATTACAGTTCTATACCCAATATGAGTTGGTCCAGACTCCGGTCTTGGGGAGAACGCTGTGAACATTCCCTGCACGATACAACCAATCGGGAGCACGAACTCACCAAACGAATCCAATTTCGAGGCGGAGGAAGAAATCGCAGTGTGCAGCGCAATACGTACGGTTGGTGTCGAGGAGGAGGTAGCGGGTGGCGGGCGAGTCGATGATCATGATGACCTCGTTGAAGTCGCTACCGGTGATGGCGAGGAGCGTGTACTCCTCCTCCTCCTCCTTCGCCGCTTGCTCCTGCTGCTCGGTGGCTGGAGGGGCGGAGACTTCGCCGCCGCCACCGGGGGCGCAGTACAGCGGCCGCCGCGCCGAGGCCGCTCCCCGTCGAGGGAGGAGGGAGACTCGGGTGGCGGAGCGGCGTTGGGGCTTGGCTTCGCGGCGGCGGTGGCGGTGGAGGAGGCGAGGCGGGGAGAAGGTTAGCGGCATGGTGGCCATTGCTGATGAGATAGAATGCTAATGCACGGCGAGGGATTGGGTTCCCACGATTTCAAGCCGTTGATGGAGATGGCGGGTTAGGAATTCCCTTTTGATAACTGCAAAGCGTATTAGCGTAATCGGTTCTTCTCTTAAACCATGATTATTTCTTAAGAGGCCTTTTCGGATGAGGCCCGATAAGAGAAAATTTCAGAGGCCCAGCAGATATAGTCTTACAATGTTATGGGCCATAATTGGGCCTGAGTATTCTAGTGTGGTTGGTTTCATCTGAAATCAAACTGCGAAGCAAGCAAGCAGTAAACTCCCAGAATAATAGCATTTCAAACCTGTACAAGACAAACAATCTTGATGTGTTGTATTGATTCGAAACTTCGAACGGCTGTTTCAGAATATGAGCAATTTTTTTTGGGACAGGAAGAATATGACCATAGTACTTAACTTTCTCGCAGGTACCACCTACTCCAGGTGATTGTGCATGATAAAATGAATCTGCAGCTAACAACCTAGCCTCTCCCCAACTTCCAATCAGTTTGGTCAATTGGAGCCTTTGGACACATGCATCGGACGCCAATTGACCTGTCGCCGGCCGCCGGGAGACACGCCGCGACAGGGGCCACGACGCCGCCATGACATCCGTAAAACCAGCAAAGCTGCAAAGACATCGCGGCCGACACTGACGCACGCAACGGCGCACGTCAGATGAGCCCACGTTCCTTGAGATCGCCGGCAAATACACTGGGAATTCGATGTTTCACCGATCCGCCGGCGCCGTCTCGCGCACCGACGCAGTTTCTATCAACCACTCTCTCCATCCACCAAATTAGCCAAAAGAAAAAGGTTCGGTTGGTACTTGGTAGGCTAAGCTTTCTAGCTCGTTTTCTTTGTGCTTTGGCTCGCTATCAACGAGCAGCCTCCCGCACTTCACGGCCTAATCTCCATCAAATTGCAGTGACAATAATGTACTCTTAAACGTATTTAATGACACGTACACATGCAGCGAATCCCGAGGACGTGGATTTATACTGCAACTGTAGTTAACGTGTCAGCGCAGTGCGTGCATGCGTGCGTGCAAGCGTGCAAGGTGCAACTGTACTGCATGCAGCATGCGTGGACAAGACGTACATTAGCTAGTTGGTAGTGGCGCTGTACGGGAGAGGTTTCGTTGGCCGGCGGCGAGGGCGGTGGTGGTTGTGTTCGCCGGCGCCGGCGAAGAGCTCCTCACAGACGTCGGCGAAGGCGCGGAGGATGAGGTGGTGGTGGCGCGACGAGTTGAGCGAGAGGAAGCGATGCAGCAGCTCCCGCAGCTCGGGGGTGGCCGTGATCTCGTTCTCCACGATCATCTGCGCCATCGACCGCCGGAAGTCGCCCAGCGGGTCGTCCGACTCCGTCACCACCGGCACGCTCTCCTCCTCCAGCCGCCCGCGCCGCCGCCTGCCGCCTGACGATGCATCGCTCGCGCTCCTCCTGTGCCGCGGCGGCGGCGGCGTCGCCGGCCTGATCCCGCGGTCTTCCCGGACGCCCAGCGCGCGCACGCCGCGCTCCAGCTCGCGCAGCTGCAGCAGGAGCGTGCCCACGCTCGGCGTGCCATCCGCGTCGTGCACGGTGTTCGGCGCGGGCGTGGGCACGGTCACCCTCGTCGTCTTCGCCGACGTCGCGGTAGCACTTGACGTCATCGTCGGTGGCGTGGTCGTGGCGGGCGAGATATTGCCGGCGGCGGAGAGCCGGGACACGACGGACACCGACTTGGCGCCGCCGCAGCCGCACATGAAGCCGCGCGCGGCCGCTGCGCTCGAACCCTTCTTCTTCTTCTTCTTCGATGGTAGGCCCTGATCGGCCATGCCGCGACGTGTCGTCGCTTTCATGTCCTTGGGTTGAGAGCAAGTGAGCTTGTGCGCTGTTTGTTGTGGACTAGCTACACCAGCTATAGTGGGGAGCTAGGGGGACAGACTTCTTAAAGCCTGGGCTTAACAAGAGCCAGCTAGGTGAATTTCAGACATGCTGATGCAGTAGCAGCAATTACTCAACTACAGACACATTTATAATTCCAAGTCATTAACCAAAAAATTAGTATCACGCTATCCGTTGTTAGGAGGTCAGTGTCAGATTCTGGTCGATTTACCAGCGGTAATCTTGGGTCAATCCAGGGTGAAAACAACATTGACTTACAAAGTATAGCTCAATACTATTTCTGACCGTTCAGTTAATCGGTTACTACTCCTATTTGTTTCAGACTTATACGCTTACCATTCTGTTCGTGTACAGATGTACTGATGCTTTCAGATTTTGCATAACTCTATTTGCAAGGGAAGTTATTACAAAACGCACGCAAGGTTGTACTGCTACGTCAGAAACAGGGCAAAGAACACATCAGACAAATGAAAAACTAACATACCATTTCCCAAGCTTGCGCGCGATTTGCGCAACTAAATCCCAGCGAATAGAACAAAAGAGCAGATGACACGAGACAGAGGAAAATCCAAGGGATGTCAAAGCGAAGTGACGGGAGATTTGGATGGGCCTAATTAACAGATTTCCTTTCAAGGTCAGAGACCCTACTGCAAACAGCAAGATTACACTACAGAGTACAGTACAGTGCAGAGGAGGAGAGATGCCTTGGAAGAAACACTGTGCTGGGCCTGGACGTTTGTTTGCTTGCTTGTCACATGCATCTTCTGCTGGTAATACATTCCGGCCACGCTAGGCAAAGTGCTCCCCGTGCTCTGCTGCTCATGATCATGATCATGTCCTCAACAGAAGGCCACCAAACTTACATGCTTGCTGTCCCTGCAGCTAACCGAGATTGAACTAGTGAAGTGAATCAGACTGTCAGGAGGTAATTGATGCAGTAGGAACACCAAACAGCAGGTGTAACAGACAAGTGTGTCTTCTTTAGAGATACTGATCATTAGATGATGGTAATGTGGCATACATCAAAACGAAAAAAATGCTTCATTAGACTGCTGGCCTATTCTGCAAAAAATAAATAAATAAATAAATCGCATTCTTTTTAAATTGGCATGTCCTGCCTTTTTGAGTTTTGACTCTAGCACAGGCACTTGGTACTCGATCAAACATGTTGTCTCCTGATAAAAGGTGGCAACTCCTGTATCAGATGCATCCTGGGGTGATTGATTGGAAACAAGAATAGTTGTCTTCGATCGTTGTGATGGACAAATGGTGTGGAATCTCAATGATGTCTTGATTGGCTTCATGGCTGACGGCTCATGTCTACCTGGGTATCAGGCATGGAGCATTACGACCGGACTCAAATGATGGTATCAGCGCCGGCGAAGGCAATGGGCCAAACTAGGGTCATATCCAGAGAAGTCTAGCCAAACACTGATCTTAACTCAGCCCAACTGATTCTTGGCCCAGTACTACATATCATTTCTCAGCCCATCTAGCATAAATTGGTAGAAACAGCCCAAATACCCGCAAAAAACAGAAAGCAGCCCAACATCTGCCTTGTGAAAATTGGGCCTGAAATACTAACAAGCCCATTATATCCACTTACAAAGGCCCTAAGTGGAATAAATAAGGAATAAGTTCATCTGAGGTCCCTTAACTTGTCAATGAATCCGATTTCCGTCCCTCATCCGGAAAACCAGACACAACGGGTCCCTCAACTATCAAAACCGGTGCAGATTAGTTCATTCGGTGGTTTTGAAAGCGGTTTTAGCTGACGTGGCGCCTACGTGGCTAATTTAACTCGGTCTTCATTTGACGTGGCATTAACGTGGCGATTACGTGGCAATTCGATCCGGAAAAATAATAAAACCCGTAAGACCCACGTGTAAGTCTCACACAGAAAATAATAAAAAAAAGTGGTGGGACCCACAGTCAGTCCAACTCACCTCTCCTCTTCTTCCTCCTCTCTCCCCATCTCCCTATCTTCATCTCTCTCTCCTCTCCTCTCCTCTCTTCAGGCGACGGAGAGGCAGCGGCACGCGGCGGCAGTGCGGCCGGACAACGGTGCCTATGCGGAGGAGCTCGGCCGAGCGACGGCTCGGCGCGAGCGTGGCCGTGTGGCGGCGCCGGCCCCGGCACGGGTCGCGGCCTCGGCGGTGCGGACGGGCAGCGGTGCCGATGCGGAGGAGCTCGGCCGAGGGACGGCGGCACCATTTCTGGCTTCCCTGCCTCCTCCCTCCCCGCCCACCTCGCCGGCCGCCGCGCGCCGCCCGTCTCCCGTCTCCGCCGCGCGCTGCTTTGCTGCTGGTGAGGTGAGAGAAAAAGAAACAGTGAGAGAGATGACCAGTTCGCTCGCGCTGCCCGCAACTTTCTCCTACCTCCGGCCGTCCAACTCCTCTTCCCTCTCACAGGCTCACACACTTGGCGCGCCCCTTGATCAATTCGTTCCCCTTCTTTTTCTTCCCCCTTGCTTGCAGATGGGGGCAACTAGAGGAAGCGGCTGAGACAGGCAGAGGCGGCGGGCATGGTGGCGCCGCATGCAGAAGTGTCGTTGCAGCCGCAGGCGCAGGGGCAAGGGGCACAAGGTAGTGAGCCTCGCGCAGCTGCACAAGCGGCCGGCGGTGACGGTGCTCAGTCTCGAGTTAGACGATGGCGGGTCGGAGCACGTGTCGACGACGGCCTCCTCCGCATCGTCTCTCCTCTCCGAGACGAGCTCGTCACGCAATTCGACCAGTACGAGAACGAGATGGTGCATCTGTTTCAGGATCATGTGAGGGTCGTCGTTGATCGTGTTGTTTTGTTATTGCTATGTTGTTCAGCGATGTTTTTCTGATGGTTGTGGTGTAGCTCTGCTTGCTTGTTGTAGACGGAGAGGCTCCATCGCGTGCTCGGCAAGGCGAGGCGGCGGCAATACCAGTCGCTGCTCGGCGCGGCGGAGGCGCGCAGGATGAGGGATAAGGAGGCAGAGGCCTCGAATGCGGCGCGACACATCGGCGAGCTAGAGGAGCGTGTCGCGCGGCTGAGGGCGGAGGCGGCGGCGCGGCAGGCGAAGGCGCTTGCCGACCAGTTCACCGCGCGCCGCTCCGCCCACCACACGCCGCCACTCCGCTTCGCCCCGCCGCCCGCCATCGCTCCGCCCACCGCCCCCCTCTGCGCCGCCGCTCGCCGTTCTGTAGGGGAGAGAGAGAGGGGGATAGAGAGAAAAGGGGGCTGACATGTGGGACCACATGGGCCCCACCTTTTCTTATTATTTTTTTATAGCTGACATGTGGGTCCCATGGTTTTTAATTATTTTTCCAGGATCCAATTGCCACATAAGTGACACGTCAATGCCACATGGGACGAGGATCTAGTCAAAGGGAGCCACGTAGGCGCCACGTCATCCAAAACCGGACATAATACTGCCGAGGGACATTTTCTGCACGGTTTTGTAAGTTAAGGGATGCGTTGTATCCGGTTTTCTAGACTGAGGATGAAAATCAAACTGGGTGACAAATTGAGGGACCGAAAGTGAACTTATTCCAATAAATAAACATTCCTGCTTAACAATCCTCCAGAAATAGTTTTTCTCCGTGGTACTGGGATTGTAGTCGTCATGCTGGTTGTCATCCTGGGAGCGAACTCTTGTGTTTGGAGGTGTTCGTTCTCGCTCGGTGGTCGGGTTGTGACTACGGTTTTCCAAACCCTAGTCACAATTGTGGCCGGAGCCGGAATACCATACGGTAACCGTGGTAATTGTGGCAAACCGTATAAAATTTATCAAAATTTAAATTATTTTTAAAATTTATTTAAATTTAAGGAGGTTTACCGCGGTTTTTCTTTTAACGCACCCCGTGGTAAGCGCGATAACTACGATAACCACGTGCTTACCGGCGGTTTGGGAAAACTTGGTTGTGACCAAGGTGTTTTTTCTCTGTTTTCAGAATTGTGCTGTCTTGAACTGTGTCTTGGAAAAGCTGGTTTTCCCAGTGAATGATGCCGTGATAGCTTTCTGTAAAAACCGGGTCATATGACCTACTACACAGTACGTATGTTTTATCGTTTGTCTTATTTAAAAAAATATGTTATTATTATTTATTTTATTGTGAGTTATTTTATTGCTAAAAGTACTCTAAACATCGCTTATATCTTATGTATTTAGAAAAAAAGTTTAAATAAAACGAATGGTTAAACCTGTATACAAAAGTAAACTGCGTCATTTATTAAAAAAGGAAGGAGGTGCTTTCTAAAAAGAACAATCTTACAGAAAAGAAAATAAATACGGACCAGCTAAATATGTTTTAGCAGCCCGCCAGTATTCATGGAGTGCAACATCCTACCTGTATAACTATAGCCTTGAATCTTGATGTGAAAATGGATGTTCTGGCCTTACTTAGTTTCAAATTTTTTCTTCAAATTTTCAACTTTTCTATCACATCAAAACTTTTCTACACATATAAACTTCCAACTTTTTCATCACATCGTTCTAATTTCAACTAAACTTCTAATTTTAGCGTGAACTAAACACACCCTCTGTTCAGAAGAGAAAACAGGAGTTTTGGGACTTAGTAATGTCTTTCCAACGCCAGCGCCAGCGTCACCATCTTTCTTTTCCGATCACACGGTCATCACTCGGTCAGGTTCTCGTCTTGCAAATCCGCTCGTCTGCTAGCTCACATTCGGTCAGGCTCCTGCCGTTGGAAAACGACACGACCCAACGTTCCAACAAGGGGGCAGCAGAGTCGCTCCAGTTGGGCTGGGAGTCTCTGAGCAAGGCAAATCAGTCTTAGCTAACTAACCAGCAGAGACGTCAAGCAATTGGTCTCATCTCTTTCAGTTTCATACCAATCTGTTATCCCCCAAAAAACAAGAAGTTTCATACCAATCGAGACGTTTTGTTTGATGTCGCAACAATAGTAGCCCGGCTCATGTTCTCCCCTGTTGGATGTTTGCACATGAACATGCTCTGCTTAGCGATGCCTTGGGGAGTTGGGATTTTTGGCGATGTGGGTTTCGTACACCGGCAGGTGACGGGTCGTGTCCACCCGATCGTATACCGTCACCAGCACGTCCGCGTGCCGATCGTGTCCACCGAAACAACAACAACTACTACTACTACTGTAGCCCAAGTCGCAGTCGCAGCCGCAGCAGGCCATCGACCACCACTACGCCGGTGGCCCAAGTGATAGTATTTAGGACGCTTTCGTCGCATTGCATTGCCCGCTCGCCCCTCTGCTTTTGCTGCTGTTGCGTTGCGTGATACGCTCGCCTAACTTTGGCTAATTCTGCTGATATTTGCTCTTCTTCTGTCATATCACCTTGCCGCTGCTTCTGATCATCTCCCGTTCTTGCATTCTTCTTCTTCTTCTTCTTCTCCGGCGTGGTGTGCTGCTGACGGCTGACGCTGGCTGGTCGTGGACATGTCGAAGGTGAGGCTCTGTCTTTTGCTCTTGGATTCTCATCCTGATTACTGTAGTAGCTTCTGTGGGATAAAATGATCTCTGCTTCTGAATCCAGTAAAATATACATGTTGTTTTTGTCCGTTACACATTGCGAGCGTTCGTATACCATGGTGGTGCGTAAACTAACACTGATGTTTCACATGTTCCTCTGCTGCAGAAGATTGTGGTGAAGCTGGATCTCCATGACAACAAGGACAAGCAGAAGGCCATGAAGGTCGTCTCCACGCTTGCCGGTACGCATCGTGTTCGATCCATCAACCGTTCTGCCCGTGTTCAGAAACGATCAAGAGAAATGACTGCTGTTCGTTTATGCATGTCACTCATGTCAGGCATCGACGCCATTTCCATGGACATGGCGTCGCGCAAGATGACGGTGATCGGCACGGTTGACCCGGTGAACGTGGTGAGCAAGCTGCGCAAGGCGTCCTGGCCGGCCTACATCGAGTCCCTCGGCCCGGCCAAGGAGCCGGAGAAGAAGAAGGAGGGCGGCGGCGATGCCAAGAAGGATGGCGGCGATGGCAAGAAGGAGGGAGGAGGAGACGGCAAGAAGGAAGGCGGCGATGGGAAGAAGGAAGGTGACGGCAAGAAGGGTGAGGCGGCGGCGGCGGCCAAGAAAGAGGAAGGCGGCGGCGAGAAGAAAGTCGCGGCGGTGGCACCGATGCCGATGCCGATGCACCAACTGCCACCGCCGTACATGTTCAACGCCGGGTACATGAACCAGTACCGGCCGCCGCCGCCGCCGCCGCCGGCCTACCCGTACGCGCCGCCACAGTACTACTACGCGAGGGACATGAGCATGGAGGAGAACCCCAACCCGTGTGCCATTTGCTGATCGAATGGTATTCTTGCATTGCATCTGATCTGTAGCAACTAGCAAGTAGCCCTACGTACATTTTCTCGAACATGATGTGTATACTGTTTTTTTTTTTTTTTTTTTTTTTTGAGAACCGATGTGTATACTGCATAGTAGTGTATCTCGTGTTTGAATTGGAGGGTAGAAGAATTTGCCGGCAACTTTGAATTTCTGACGAGAAGGGCGGTATCGAGTCAAACCATTGCATGGAAGAACCATACTAATTCAGATGCCTGTTGACTGTTGCCCGTGGTATTAATGGAGAAATTAGCCATCTAGAGACACTAATTTCAGCCATCTGCTTTCATTTACTTCGACAAGAAAATAAGAACGAGGAAATGAAAGAAGGTATAGTAATGTGCTGCAACTAAAGCTCAGCTAGGAGCCTAGGACCCATCAGCAAAACAGTCCTAAGCTTTTCGTTTAGGAAGAAACAGCCACTCGTAAGCCTGAAAATTTTAGTGTCCTTTCAATTTTCTAGTGTATGTATCTCCACAAACTTTTTCAACTATAAATAAACTGAAGATTAGTCGGCGAGTTCTTTATTGCGCACTGGTTTTAGGATCACAACAATCCATAGTTAGGAAAAGGTTTAAGTCTCAACCAAAAGTTTGATCTGCGTATGCATTTTCTCATTAAAAATACCGCACACCATGACCATAGATTATACTAGCACTGAGGACTGAGGAGGCAAAGAAAGACGGCAGAATCACCGGGGCTTCAAAAGGTGGGTAGATTTTCATTTCCAACATGACGAAAAAACTAGCAGAAGAATATTGGCAGCAGCTGTGGTTGTGATGTCCCAATTCCCATTTGCATTTGCAGATCCATTTTGCATCCTATAATAATCAAACAAACGGGGAGTGAATCGCTTGTCAATTTTTGCGGTTTGGGTGAGTCGGATGATCCTGACTTTCTCGTCACCCCTGACGACAGCATTGGCAGCTACCTCTTCCAACGCTGAAGGACTAGAGAAAGGAGCTCAACCGTTCAGCCAAAGGCGACGCATCTTTTTCGTTTTCGATGAAACAGAGCCTTCGTACTCCAGATATATCACGAAACAATTGTTGTTAATTATAGATTGATGCAGATGTGATCATGTGATGATTAAAAATAGTGATTTTGTGAGGTCATGTTCAGCTTCCGATCATCAACTCGCAAATATATTAGAGCAGAAAATACGGAAATGAAGCTACGTGTGTGCTGTGGTCGGTGAAGATGGCGATGGAAGAAAATCAGAAATAATGCCATTGAAAATTTACCTGGCTGCCTGCTGCGGTTTTTATCATCCAGCCTCACCTGACCCGCCTCTTTCGTTGTCGCAGAGGGTGAAAATGAAATCGCTCCACTCGGCGACAGAATTTTCTTGGACAAAACTACATGGACAGTTACCTCATGATATCCTAGAAACCATCGTCCGTATAGGAGCAGACATTGACAGATAAGTAAATTTATCGCCGTGTTTAGTTCCAAAATATTTTTTCAAACTTCCAACTTTTCCATTACATCGAAATTTTCCTACACACATAAACTTCTAACTTTTCCGTCACATCGTCTCAATTTCAACCAAACTTCTAATTTCGGCGTGAACTAGGCGTGAACTAAACACACCCATCTTTGTTTTCTCCAGCACGAGTCTATGTCATATGACTCTGCATTTTTGTACTCCCTGCAAAAGGAAAAAAGAAGTCGGATGAATGATCGCAACAGCAAACAAAAGCAGCCACTGTTTTCTGGTTTAAATCTTGTAACCATCGGCGCCTGTATTTGAGCTTTGCGGTTGCTATCATCGCACTCAAGCAAAAGCCGTATCAAATGGATCAGCCTCGTAATACAACTGAAATACAATTAGCAGCTGATAAAAGACAACTTATCACACGATGAACTACTGTATTAAACAAATGAACTGAAAAGATTGCAAATAGAAATTAAATTTTGATGCTTCAGTTCCCATCTGCTAATGAGTTGGAGAACAAGGAAACACAGGTAGTGCAGCTAACTCCAGGGCGATCGCCTGTAGCTTCCGTGCAGCAACGCCGGTGGACGGCTGACGGAGCTCCGGCGACCGGCGGCGTGGCAGGGAGAGCCGCGAGCAGATCAAATCAAACTCTCTCCTCCATCCGGGCCGTATTAACTCATGGGCTGGTGAGACCAAACCCGACTAGAATCGCATTGGTACCGATCCGGCCCAAGAGGATGTGATGGTTCATAATAAATAGCATGCAAAGGTGATTACTATTCTTTCTTTTATCCGGCCAATCAGATTGCATCATGATTGAATACATACACCCATAGCTCAGGTGTGAAGCCATTACAGTTTCACAAAAGAAAGAACTAACAAAGTTACACTGCCATTCTGCTGCTAGGTTTCTCAAGAACAGAGCACAGCTTAGTGTTACATAGCCTCCCAATTTCACATTTTGATCTTATTATATACTTTTCAGCACTAAAAGAAAAGGCACACAACCCTACTGGTCACCAAAGCATGTAGGACACCTATTTGACATCCCAACTGCAAATACAAGGTGCATCTCCGGGAGGGCCTTATACATGCATGTGAGCATGTCTACAGTTGCGCTAAGGGTAAAAAGAAAAAAAAAAGCGCTCCCTTTTGCAAGGATTGGCACAACAAGATGTGACCCCACAGAAAATTCATCAATGTGCACAAGACCAGGAGGACGATATCCTTTGGTATCACCTGGAGAAATGGTGCAAACGCTACAAAGGGGGAACTACATCCAGGAGCATTGGATAGTTGGAATACTAAAGATCACCTCTTCTTTGCTGCTTTTGCGTCAGATTCAGATTTCCACACTATGTCTTTTAACTCTGACGAGAAATTGTTGTAGAACTGCATGCAATTTGATAGAAATGACGTTAATCGTTCTGAAATCATCAAGAAACAACTAGATGCTGGGTACTATGAAATGATTTTTTTTTTCAATGACCCACTATGAAATGATAGAATATACAAAGTTTGATAACATACATTGTGAAACTCCAGCGTGTCCCCTCCAGTTTTACGAAGCTCAACCATGTGGAGTGATGGAGCAACCTCGAAAACCTGTGAGATAGCATGTGAATAAGTTCTTTTATTAAAGCAAAATTTACTGAAGCATTGCACAGACTTAACAGGATACATGTCAATTTAATTTCCAATACCTCCGTTGCTACAGATAAATAGCCTTTTCTTCCAGTCTTATCACCTTTTAACTTCATCTGGAGCCCAACAAAAAAGAACAAATCCAAGTTACTTCTGAATGGCGAACATACTGATGCAAATTCTCAAGGAAACTAACAGAAACCCACATAAAGCAAACTAGTCAATACATAGCCGTCTAAAATGCTACAAACCTTATAATTTTGTTTCCGCACATTGAAACCAAGAGGTCCACAAGCTTCCTCTATTTTAGACATGATCTCCTGTGGTGTACATTGAGATGTGAAGGAAGTTTCCCGCTTCACCATTCCCTATATATATTAGGTAGACTCAGACTATTTAGTAAACGACTAAGGAGTACAACTAATAGGATGATAAATTGATCAAAACATAATTGTTCTGTCGGACTTAGCACATAAAGAAAAGAGGAAAACATTAGCAAAATTATATTAACCGATACAAGCTTCCAGAAAGAAGCACTCCAATCTATCTAGCACATAACATATTCTCAACATGGAATTATAATATTGGACTCTATCAAAACCTACCATCATTTCCTTCTCAAATAAATTTCCAAGGTTGAATCCCTGTGACCTTGAAATTAGAGCAAATGCATTCATGGATTCAGGCTTTTCTCTCTTCTCTGCCACGAGATTCTCCTGAAAGGTTAAACAAACAAACGTAACAAACAAAGAAGTGGTTTTAACTCAGGTTACAAATCGTATTTTTGGGAAAGGATGCAGGTTACAGATAAATGTTCAGCTAGCATTACCTCTGAACAATCGAATGCAGCATCAACATCATCAAGGCTCACATCTTCACCTTGCTCAAAAAGTGGTGGTTTGTAATCCTTTTTGAACCAATCATCTTCCAAAATTTGTGCAATTGTTATTCTCTGCAAAGAATATAGCTCATTGTTTTCTGACTTCTCTCAAATTGCCATCATAAAAGGCTTCAAAGAGGATATACAATGAAACTCATTGGACTAGCAGCAGTCAGCTGGTCAAACTGGTTAGCTGAAGATATATGTCCTTAATTGTCACTTACTGTGCAGGGATTAGGATCAAGTATGCGCTTAATGAACTTCTTCGCACCTGAAGAAAACCAATGTGGACAAGAAACTTTTGCCTTGCAGATCTGTGAAGAGAACATCAAAAGTCTATCAAGTTTACCAATGAAATTCACAAGAAACATTAGAATGCGTGCATGTTACACATACTTACCAGTTTGTAAAGGGTCATTAGGTTGGGGTCATCGAAAGGTAAATATCCAGCCATGAGGACAAATAAGATTATGCCGCAGGACCATACATCAGCAGCCATACCATCATAACCTTTATCAGCAAGCACCTGAGGGAACAGTATGAATATATGATTCTTACATCTTTTTGGAGAAAATACACGAGTTTAATCAAAGGCAACATGAATCACCTCAGGTGCAACATAATTTGGTGTTCCGCAAGCAGTATGCAGAAGTCCATCCTCCTAAATAAAACAATCAAAATAGTTTACCAAAGTTACTTCTTTCAACTTTCTTGTCACCAAAACAAATAATTATGCGTCCGAAGTTCATTTGAGGTAATAGTGCAAGTTAAGGAACAAGTCAATTAAACCAGAAAAATGCTAGAAAACCCAAACACATCACATTAGGATAAAGAAACTGGTTAATTTTTTAACAACTACAAAAACATACTTCTGGGTACTAGCTAGATATCATACTTTTGTTTGTGGAGCAAACGCACTAAGGCCAAAATCTGAAACTTTAAGAGCTCCATGTGAATCAAGAAGCAGATTCTCTGGCTGCAAATGGCACATAAAAAATATGAATGAGAATACATCCATCCCAGTGGAGATTACCCAGAAAGGAGGTAAGCAGGATAATTCAACAAACCTTCAGATCTCTATGGTACACTCCTCTGCTGTGGCAATAATCTACTGCATTTATAAGTTGATGGAAGTATCTTCTTGCTTCATCTTCTCCTAGTCTCCCAGAATTGACCTAGTTGATAATAACATGATGATAAATGGGTCAACTTGTATGGTCCAAGAACTGCGGATTAGTCAGTCAGTATCAAAACAGTCAAATGTGCCGGTTCAACAAGCTACTCTTACAGCATGTAAAAGCAATTTGTACATAAACAAAAATAAGAATCGTGATATCTGGCACAGAAAGTTCATGGGCCTTACAATCTTATCAAAAAGCTCGCCTCCATCAACATATTCAAGAACCATGTATATCTTTGATTTGCTAGCCATGACCTGTCAAACACACATTGAATGTAAAATTCTCATTGAATGAGATGAGATAAAAAAAAAAAGAAGGGTATGAGTGGTAATGACGCTATTGTTCCTGCAAAGATAGCAAAGTACCTCATGCAACTGGACCACATTTGGATGTTTTATTAGCTTCATTGTGGAAATCTCCCGTTTGATCTGATAGAAGTGGAATATGAGGTTATCATTCACAATCGAAAGCTCAAGCTGGAAAACAGAACAGCTCGAGCAGGGACATTTAATTGTGCCAACACATCATATGGAAAATCACATATTTAACCAAAAAAAATACTAGTTTTTCCACCAAACAATGCATCAACCAATGAGTGATCTAGCACGGAATGTACAATACCCGAGTTTCCCCCCAGTCAGACTGAATTTATAACTCCCCGAGAAAAAAAAATGAATCTAGAACAACTCTTGCCACTCCTACGAACACCAAAGCTAGCACAGCTTTTTGCTAGGCAGAAAGCATTTGATTAAGACAGGGTTGGCATCACCGCATCGGAGATATTGTTATAGTTACATGGCCCAGCTTGATAATCTGTTGTTACATTTCCGATTCAAACTTGATACAATTCCATCTAATTTCCTTTAGATCAGAGCAGATTTAGCCCGCTGGACAGGCGGACACATGACCTTTCTTCAATCACAAACAATCCAAACAGACAGAATCTTGACAATGGTAGAGACGTAGTAAGCGCATATTCTCGTTTAATGTTTATTAATCCCCATGAAAATCCATCTTTTATAATAATCTAGCATCTATCTAGAATAATTTAGGATTCTTAATTCGATCCCCTCCGAGAAAAGATCCAACTTGTTATTACCTGATGTCTAAAAAAAGAGATAAATATTCAATTTTGAGGATGATTAAGGCGGCGGACCTGCTCGACCATCTTGTGGCGAAGCACATGGTTGCGGTCGAGCACCTTGATGGCGAGGGTGTCGCCGGTGCGCGTGTCGCGGGCGACCTTGACCTTGGCGAAGCTCCCCTCCCCGATCGTCTTGCCGAGCTCGTAGCGCCCCACCCTCGTCGTCCTCCTCGCCGGCCCCGCCCCCGCCCCCGCCCCCGCCGCCTCCGCCTCCGCCTCCGCCATCAATCCCTCCCGCAGATCAATCCTCCACCGCGCGCCTCGCCGCCTTCCGATGATGGGATCGAGGAGTGCGCGCGTTGGTAGGTCGCACGCAGGCTGGATGGCTTGGGCGCCCCGTGCGCGCGCCTCAAATAAGGCGGAGATGCGTTGGTGGCAGGTGTGGTGTGGGGTCCGGTCGGGAACCGCGTGGGACGAGACGTAGGCGGCGCGCGGCGTGCGGCACGGATGCGTGCGTGCGTGCGCGCGCTATCGTTTTGGCCGTGTGCAACGCGACGCGATTCACAGTTTTCACAGGCAGTGGCCCGAACTCTATCCCAATCCCACCACCACCCCGGCAAAAAAAACGATTAATCAAACTCGAAAGCAACACGCGTACGTAACGAGCACGCGCGAACGCGGCATTTAACCGTGGCTCCTCCTCGGATGGATAAATCCAAATGTGGGGCGAGATTTTACGTGTTGCCACTTGGAGATCGCTCCTTTCGGTTTTCTTTACGCTGGAGTAGGGAAAATCTCGCCGTCGTCCACCACCGTGGCCACAGCGACAGGCAACGAGCTAGTAGTAACCCTGAACATGCGTGCTTTGCACCTTCCTCGAAGGAGCACCCGTACGGTGCCGTACTCTCAATCATTCCTCCGTTGAAAACGACGCGCTGATCCATCCGTGCTCCACACGTCCTCCCCTGAACAAACTCTGGCTCTCCTCTGAACAATTCACCGCGACCGCGACGACGACAAAAACGAACGTGTGTGATCTTGCTACTGTATGCCGTTTGCTGTGTTGTTTTTCCAGCAATCATGCACGCAATTAACCTTGCCTGATGTGGTCGCGGTCGGAAGCGGTGCGCCACGAATCAGCAAGCGGCTAGCAATAGCAATAGCAATAGCAGTAGGCCAGTAGCAGCGTGAATGCATGATTGATGCCGCGATGGGGCCGAGAGCCTTATCCTGCGGCGTCACGCGGGGGCACCACACCACCACTAGCGCCTCGTGCCATGTCCCGTTCGTCGTCGCTGCCTGCACTGCACACCACATTCTCTCAAATCTTTTTCCTCGCCGCCATCAAGGCATTACCACGACAGGGGGCGTGACCGATCGACCTGTGTGTGATTGCTGATTTGAAATCGTAACCGTCACATTACATTTGGAGAGAATTGTGATTGCAACTCTTGTGTTAGTGGTTGATACTGCAGCAGCTTTCGTGACTTTGGAAGTAGACGGCGAGATTATTGTGACGGGGACAGCACTGTTGTTCTGGAGTGAGAGTTCCACGTGCGACTTTGTTTGCGTTGTCAGCTTGTGGGATTTCGATTCCAGGAGGATACGTACTTCGATGAGCTCCATGGCCGGTGATTTTTGTCGAGTTATACTTGATGGTTGTCGCAGAAACACTCCTAACCGCGAGTTAGAAGAAAGTAGAATCGTGCTAGATAGAAAATGCTTAGTTTTCTATTTTAAGAAGGCTATGCTAAGAGATTTCTGAAAAGAAAAATTAAAACCGCGATTTTATACATTTTGACGTAGTTCGTAGATATTCAGCTCCCAACGTGGCAGGTTAGCAGCAGAAGAAATGTCATAAACCCAAAACCCTCTGTTTGGGAGCCCATAATCTGGCGAGAAACCTGGCCCAATTCTTTCAGGCCCAGTTGACAAACAGGCCCTGAAACCGGACTCTCTCTCTCTCTCTCTCTCTCTCTCTCTCTCTCTCGCTCTCGCCTTACAAAAACAACGGTGGGCTGGCCCATGATGCTCTCTGTCGACGAGTGAAAGAAGCCCAGCCCATGAGAAGAAAAGGATCGTCGTCTCCAGACCATACGATACATGCGCGCATGATTCATCGCCCCGACGTGGTCAACTACCCCGAATGTCTCCATCAACATGTGGTACAATAAGGGCACCCGCAATAATTATCTATAGATTTTCTATAAAAGATACATGTCAGCATATTTTCCTACTTGAAAGAGATTAAATGGAGAGAGAGAGCAAAGATATCTACTAATCTGGAGATAGTCTATAGAGAAAAACGAGACAATGGATTAGAGAGCTATAGATACCCATATAGACATACAATTAAAGTGGTTTACTATTAATCTAGTCTATTACTGATATGTATATATTTTATAGATAGCACGTTACTTTACTATTGTGGGTGCTCTTTGGGAAGTCTCAAGCTAGGGAAGTGAAGCCGAAGGGAGAGGCCAGGCCAGGTCGGCCGTGTCACCGGACGGCCGCTTTCCGAGTTGACGCTCCACCGAATGGCACCGTCCCAGGACACGCCATGCCCCCGCCCGTGATATAATCGAGCTGAATTGCCACAGCTATCGTGAGTGTGAGTGCACCGCTGCCGCAGCGGCGTCGTCGTCGGAACTCGAAACACAGCAACGGCTTGGCCGGTTTCCCGTTTGGTGCCCAGAGGTAACCGTACGTCGGAACTCGCAACTCGCAAGGCGGCTTTTGCATGCAACTAGCGTGCAGAATTCGTGTAGAATCTGGCCCGCTGCGTACGCTGCCGCCGCTGTCCTCGTCCCAAGAAAGAGGAGGAAGAAAGCTTAGCCAGAATAATGTGATGCGAACACACATCATCAGTATTTGTACTGGAGCAGTAGTAGTAGTAGTAGTAATAGTACAGTGAAGTACTGGTCCACTATAGATACTCCCGTCCCCATCAACCAGGCGCAAAGCTTCGGCCGCCTGAACAGTGAACACGACGAGCTCGATCCTAAGATAGATTCTTCAGCGTCTGTTCGGTTGCAGTCTTGCAGATGGGAGAGCCTCAACTTTTGACTAGGTTTTTATTCACCGAGAATGAGATGCGAATTCTAAAACGTGTAGACGCCACCAAACCGCACTATCTAGTTAAGTCCATGCCCCATGCATATGTGGCTTTGTGCCCATCGATCCGTTCGCCATTATCGCAGTTTGCAACGTAACTGGAACAGACCAACATATATATTACTAGCTAGCTTCCGTCCAAATCTCCACCCATAATCTGCCAGAGCCCCGAGACAAATGTTAGCGTGATACACACACATGAGCGACGCGCGTGCTACATGCCCAGTCTCATTGCCAGTCAGCCTTGCATTATTGAAGGCGACGTCGATTGCCAAGTCGCGACTTGTGAGGAATAATTGGGACTTTGGCCGAGTTGGCACCACCATCAGATTCAGGCCTTCGTGCTCCAACTGCCAAGTACTAGTCGCTGCGGTCACTCTGTGTTTCCAAGCTGTGGCAGTGACCGCGTAGGAAAGAAAACAACACTTTCTTTTCTCGTGCCTATGTGTGGACTATGCGGCGATAGTAGTAAAGGAGCCATCATTTTTGTGTGACTATGACAAATCGCTGTCGGGCTGAGCTGCATAGCTCTCTCTCAAAATTCGATCCGGAGCTGTCAATGTTAACTCGCTGAATAAAAAACCTTGACAACGAGAATTTCTTCCCACGTACTTGATCGACTAGAATATAATTAAGTGCCAAACTTATCTGCAAGATCAATCGAAGCATCTGAAATCTGCAGGTTTGTACTAGCAAGAACTTTTCTTTAGAATTTGGATCCCATTCTGATCACATTCCGATCATCTTAGGAAAAACGACGATAAGAAAGAACACCGAAGAAGAATAATAAGACTAAGAAAATGTACACTCGACGGACGGACGACAGATCGAAGACAACCCAGTCATCTCTCGGCAGCGAAGGGCGGCGGGACCTGGTCCTGGACGGCGCGGAGGCTGCCGAGGCGGCGGCACGCACCGGAGGCGAAGAGGGAGAGCCAGGCGACGAGCGGGGTGCCGAGGAGGACGAGGCCGACGGGCACCATCCACAGCTGCTCATGCGCCGGGTGGAACGCCACCGCCCACCACACCAGCACGGCCGCGCCCGCCACCCCCGTCGCCGCCACGCCCGCCGCCACGGCGAGGCACGACCACGTCAACCTCATTCTCTCCCCCGCCGCCGCCGCAGCTCGCTGCCGTCCTCCTCCTCCTCCCGCCTCCACGTCCACCGCCTCGCCGACTGGCTTCCTCTCGTGCTGCGCCATTGCGAGCTAGCTGGTGGTCGTCTCGTGGCACGCTGCTGCTGCCGCTGCCGTGCGGCGAGGTGAATATACTACGTTGGGGAGGGGGGCCTGAGGCGGGGGCATGCGGGCGGGGTTATCTGGTGATGGCTGCTGCTTTGGCCCACGCCACAGCCACAGCCCCCAGGCTTCCATTTCTACTGCAGACGCGACGCGACACCACCGCTTATCGCTTTCCACGCCAGGATCAAAGGGGCTTTGATGGGTTTCTTGCCACAAAAAAAAATTAAAGATCACCAAAATTTACTGCTGTCGCATTTTGTAAGGTAATAAATCAGACATCTTGTAGTAAGAATTTCAACATTTTCTACCCCGAAAATCAAGGGCTTCATTGGTTTCTCGTTAGGAAAAACAATATACCATATTTCGGTTGCGTAATAAATCAAATATACTATCTTCTAAACATATATGAACCTTACCAAATAGGAGTTTAGTAGATTCTGAGTATTTACTCTTGAGATTTCCAAAATTCAGAGCAAATAAGATCTCTGGTACACTTTTTTTTTACCATGTATCAATAAACCAAAATTTGGTATTCCTAAAGTTTTTTTTCAACAGACTAATCATGTCCTCACTTTAACCCCGTCCCCAGCTCGGTTACTCCGGGCGCAATCTGCATCCAGCTCAGCTCACCCCGGTCGATTCCGCGGTGAGCTGTGGCTTGGTACTTACTGGCCACGAAGCTGGCTTGTTCGCTTCTGTGAGAGGGATTCAAGAGGTGTTCGTTTCCCGGCCGGCCGTTGCACTGCTCGCATACATCCAGCTTCAGCTGGAAAGTTTGTCGTATCGTGCCGGACGCACAACGTGTAGTCGAAGCAACACGCAGTGTCTCGTTTGGAACGTATAAAAATTTCTGAATGAAACGTTTCCAATCAATCCTGTGTTACTCCTAATTTCCATAATTTCGGGTTTACTATTCCCATTTCAGATCGTTGTTCTTCCATTTCCATCTAGGATAGACTGCCCGTTTCTTCAGGATCAGCAAATTAGATAAGCGAATACACAATGTAGAACGACTCTGTAATTGTCACTATCCCCCAGCTATGGGATGCTTCAAGTAGTGTACTACTCCAGTCTTCCAGAGAGTGGGACAAAAAACAAACCTGACCCTGCAAAGGGTCCCTTGGTCGACTCATCCTCAGAATCAAGATAGCCAAACTCTTGTCTCTGCCCAGCGTACTACACCCATAAAGTCCATCGATTCATCGATCGATCGTCTCGGATGGTCCTACTCCGTTTGTCTGAAGAATATTTTTCAGCAGGAGTTTGTACTAGTCAACAGAAATGGTTTACTTGCCATGCAGATTGCATCCATTCAGGAGGAACCCACCCTACCCCAATAAAAGATGCTCAAATGGGACGCATGGCATGTGCATGTGCTCCTCTTTCTTTCTTTCTTTCCGGATGCTGCAACAGGCAACTGCAATGATTCTTTTTTTTATTTCAAGAAAAGCCTCAGACATGTTTGGAATGCAAATATTTTTTACTGATGAGGATGACAATTCAATCCCTATAGATTCAAGTTTTCATCACTTGATCGGCTGATAGCACGACCACGCACGATCTCCTTCGATATACTGAATTACTGATTGCGTTGCTCGCTAGCAGGACAGAGCAAACTGTAAGGTCCTGACAAGTGATAACACAGGTTCAGCCGTTCAGGTATCAGTATCACCAAACAAGGTAGTAGTATCAGTTAACAGTCCAGACTGGCGTACTAAGAAGGTTCTCTTAGAAACGAAGGGACAGTTAAACACTGATGAAACTATACCGCGGGTATCAAAAGCAAATTATGCTGTCCCTTGGAGGGGTCAGCAGATGGGAAGCTAATGTTGATGGAGCATCCGACATAGGATTGTCATTTCAGAGGAACATTATCTGCTGTGCTTCATGAACAGTGGAAAGAACCTTATCTTTTTTCACTCACACTGCATTTCAGAGGATCATGATCTACAGTGCTTCAGGAACAGCTGAAAATCTCCTCTTGCCGTAAAAAAAATCAAAGTCAGAGCTCGGGCAATGAAATTATGAAAATATTAGAGGGAAGAATTTCTGCTGTGACTATACTGCTAATGAGAAAAGAGATACTCCTTTCAGATATGGCGCTTCCACTTCCTGATTGTTGTCATCTTAAAGTCAATATAAAAAGCAATTCTTAGATCATGCATTCACTTTTAAAACAATCTTGTATTGATGTCTCAATAGATGAGCTCAAGTTATTTACTAATTACAAAAATATGAACTAAAGTTGCAAAACATAATTGACACAAGTTTTTACAAAAGAGTCAAGTTATGGTCAAACATACCACAAGCTTATAGAAGTACAAACTGACAATGTGTGTCGTAGCTAATAAAATTTTGGCCTTAAAACTTACTCTAGTCAGAGTTCAGTTTCTTCTCGATGCTTGATTTGCTTAGGATAAAAACACCAACAATGATAAGACTAGCACCTACAAACCACTGTATGAACATACATCAAATTCAAAAGCTGAGTGCAGTTCAGTTACAATTTTGTATACATGTAAACTCAAAAGTGGGGAAAGTGATGTATCAGTATTCTACAGTCTGAGATACACCTGATAATGCAGTGGCAAAGGGTGTGTGGTTTCAACCCTGAGGTCCCGTGTTCAATCCCCAACACGCTCACATTTCTTCTTGAAACTGTTTGGAGGGACATCTCTCCCTCCAAATGTCTTTTTTTATTATTATTATATTTTACAGACTGTACATAAATTCAGCTGTACAGATATAGTAGGCAAGTGATATGTTATTATTGTTGTATTTATGACAGGGTTTGGCTTGTATTTAACTGGTATACAAGGGGGCAAGTCATTGCTCATGATATAAAGCACAAGACCATCTATTTCTCTATCTGAAAAACGGCATCTATTTTAGCATAACAACCTAAAGATCCAGTGTGTTTTCTTTCCTATCAACCAACTGCATGCATCTCTCAAGAATTTTTTCATACAACAGTAAATTATAAGATAATCTTTGTATGCTATGTGACTTTTCAAGCGAGTAATATGAATCCAGATAAAGTGGCCTAGCTTAATAACTAGATTTAATCCTATTTATAATAAATAAACCTACTCATACTACTAAGAAGCAATGTGACAGATCAACCTAGGATACTCTTCCCATGTTTGAAAGGGAAGAAAAAGCCCAATCTAACAGAGGACATAAGCTAACACAAATAAATTTGAAAATTTTTAGCTATTTGATCTGCATGAATAACTAGCTTGATGTGCACGCACTACACAGAAGGGAGAATTCTCATATTACCTTAGAAGGCAGTGGCTCCTCGAACAGAAAGTACCCTGCAAGACCTGATGAAATGAAGTTGGCAGCAAAATTGGTGACGGTTGCTTGGAGGGATGACAGTGCTTTGAGGCTGTTCACATAGCAGCCCCACATTGTCACATTGAAAAGTATCACCATGCTGTATTTCAGAAGCTGTAGAAGGCAATAATAAAGTCAAGTCTCAAGTAACAAAATAGCAGGCAGCACTAGACTACAAGTACACTGGTAGGAGGAACTAATCCGGAGTACAGGTTAAACCGGTATCATTTGATTTGAGGTATTTTCACAATCTGATCCTAAACTAATTGAACCACACATGATAGTTAACTTTTGATCAGCAATTTCCACATTATCCCAGTTATACTTCTAGCACTAAGTCATTAGCTGAAGGGATCACACATCTAACCTCGAATTATCTGATGAATCCGCAACTTCGGATCCAAGTAAGTGACTGTTTCATGCCCATGAACTTGGTAAAATCATTTAATCGAACCAGCATGAACAAATTAAACCCGAACAAAGGCTGAAGCGGCCTATTAAGGTTACAGCGGCAGCCTTCCAAGCAAGGTATGAACAGAAAACAGAATGTTCAGATCGGAGGGAGGTAGAGAGAGAGCTAGTAGAGTACCGGAGGCGCGAAGAACTTGGCGGAGATGGCGGCGAGCGCGGCGTTGAGGCCCGCCGCGAGCGCCCACCCGTAGCCGCCTCCGCGTGCCATCGGAGCTGGAGCTCACCGGAGGCGGAGATCCACTCCACAACTCTGTAGCAGTCCTCTCATGGTGGAGAAAACTGAAGACGGAGGGGAGAACTGGGCCAACGAGCCTGGGTTTCGCTAAATGGGCCTTAGTTGCGAGGAAGGACTGATGAGGCCCACATAAAAAACGGACTACGTGGGCTTTGCTGGGCCTAAATGATGTACAGTACAAGACCGGGAGGTAGAGGGATTGGGGAAGAGAAGCGGCGGCCTGATCAGGCGTCGTCTCGCCGACTCGCGGTGCCGCCGCCGCCGCCGCGGCCAATCGGCCATCGGAGCGCACTCCGGCGGTCGCACCAATCCTCTCGTTTCCATGAGGGCCGGCGCCGGCACCGGGCGTCACCGCCACCACCGGCCGATCGATTGGCGTTGGCGCGCACCGCCGCCCTAGTTGTACTGGTTTGGGCGTGTGGCGAGCGGCGAGTTACGATCCGTGGGTGGATTTTCAGAAGCTGATCCGATCAACCGGAGCAATTCAGCAGGTACACCCTTGAATCCTTGATTTCTGCAGTTTTTTTTTAGAATAGGAATTTCTGCATTATTTTGATCAGACTAGTTAGTGATAATATATATTAGACCAACATGAACAGAGATTTTAGACTGAGTTCATTATCCCGGTATAATAATTGATTAATGGGTAGTAAGCACGCACTACGGTATAATTAATTAGTTGTTGATCCCTTCTACCTATCACGAGAGAATAGGCCTCCTATTTGGAAGATCATCTGTTGTCGTATATAATAATCTTACGGTAGGGATGCAAGCGGGTTTTTTTTAAGCCCGCTTATATATCTCTCTTCTAGTTTATTTTTTCTTCTAAATTTTATACTATCGTGTAAGAAATGAACTAGTAAACGGGTTTTTATACGGGTAACGGGACTAACTACTGGCATCCCTACTTACGGCTTCGTCGTTTGGCAACAACTGGGAACAAGACTGAATTAAGGTCTAGGGATTTGTGGTGATTGAGTGAGACCGCACTAATAACAACATAGGAGTATATTGATTTAGCGAATATTTTGCTTCAGATCTACTACCTAGAGCCTGTCACTATTCTATGCAAATCACATCTGTATTCTCAGGTAGTCACAAATATTCTCTTCTATCAAACACGCCAAATTTGCATAAAGCCATAACACGTACTCCATTCACCTCCCCTTTTAGTAACTGTCAATAGGACTATTTATCTTCAAAACTTTGATCACTCGTCTTTTTTAAAAAAATATATATAAAAATATTTTAGTAAATTGTAGTGTATTGTGTTAGTAAATTTGTATATCGAATTGATACGTGGATTTATGATGTATGTGTGGATTTGTGGTGGATTTGTGATGTATGTCTGGATTTGTGGTGGATTTGTGATGTATGTGTGAATTTGTGATGTCAATGTTCGATTTTGTGATGTTGATCTATGTGATTTTGGTGTAAAATCAATATGCAAAGAACAATGAAAAAGAAAAAAAAAAAGAGGAGAATAGGGATTAGAGAGCCTGGCGCTACCCTCTTTTGTTCCAGTTGGTAACCGGGAATAAAGATCAATCTTTACTCTTGGTTATTTTAACATCTTTAGTCTTGAATTCGTGGTCCAGTTGCAAAACCAGGACTTTAGAGGGTTACCAACCGGGAGTGATGCCCCTTTCTCCAGCAGTGCTATAAGAATCTATATATATAATACAACTTTGTTTTGGAATCTATGATTATGTATATAGCCTGATCAATCGCACAGCCCTCTTGACTAGTGATCACAATCTAAATTTCCTAGAGTTTTTTCTTGATAATATTTGTACAAGTTCAACGAGTTACTAGCTAGTGTGCTGAGTCAGAGTAGCATTTTGTTCTGCACGCGCACCTCTTGCTTTAGTCGTTTCTAGCAAGTTATGCTGACTTCAAATATTATGTCATTAATTACTGTAGAGAGTACAGTGTACTATATATGCCACCCAGCTGGGAGTCAAAGACATTTACAAAGTGCCAATGTAGGATCACATCAACTGGGAAAAAAAAAGCACATTGCAATGCCATGCATCTTATGACTCTGCACAGGGGACAGATCGATTAAAGGTTACAATCACATTTGGGAACATAAAAAGAAGCAGAAGAAAAAAAAAGAGAACAATTTATAAAAATTTCAGCTATAACCATATATCCCATCCGGTTGATGTGATGAACACATCGTGCTGTGAATGCTTTGTCCCTCATTTGTCAAACACACAGATTCCGAGGTCGCCGTCGACGCCGCTCGCGCCGGCGCCGGAGCCGAGCAACCCCGTCCACCTGTCGACCTCGTCTCTCTCGTCGCTGTTGAGAAACAGCAATGCTGCCATGTCGTCATCGCCGTGGTCCAGCGGCGAGCTCACACCGGCGACTGCCGCCGCCGCGGCTTCCGCCGTTGCCTCCATGCTGCCACACTCCCCGGGGCTAAGCTGCGACGCGACGAACTTGTCGAGCGCTCTCCAGTCCGTGGTCGTCGCCACCTTGTCGCCGGCGGCGCGGGCTTTCTTGGCCCTCCTACCGCCATTATCGCCCTTGCAGTCGTCGTCCTCGCCGGCGGTGGCCAGCTGGCTCGGGTTGGGCTGGAGCGGCGCCGCAGCCGCGGAGGGGCTCTCGAGCTGCGGCAGCTCGGCGAGGTGGCTGGAGTAGTGGAGGAGGGCTGTGGCGGCGCCGTCCAGCTCCGCCTCCTGCTTGAACCGCCCGCTCCTGTGCTGCCGCCTCATCTGCGCGTACGCCGCGCTCGGATCGGCGAACGCCGCCGCCGCCGCGGCGCTCATGATGTTGCGCTCGTGCAAGGAGTAGTCCCACGTCTCCACCATGCTCCTCGCCGGATACGCCGTCCTCTTCTTGAATGCTCGGCACACCACCCATCCTTCTTCCTGTAGTACACACATGCAAATAAAGTTAGATACTTAGGTGGTGTTTGAGTCTCCCGAAGATTAAGATTAAATATTTCATGTAAAACGTTGTGGTAATAACGTATAATTAATTAAGTTTTAATTATTATAAACTTGAAAAATAGATTAATCCGATATTTTAGAACAACTTTCATATAGAAAGTTTTCACAAGAAACACACCGTTTAGCAGTTTGAAAAGCGTAGCACAAAAATTCAAAATTTAATCCATTGTTTTAAGAGGAAACGAACGGGGGGGATGTGAGCTGCATTTTGCAAGGTTGACATTGACACCAAAGTATTTGCCAATCATTCGTAAAGTTAGCTAGCTTCCCACTGTGTGATAGTGGAACAATACGAGCTGATAACTTTTTTAGTTTTGTGGTGACATGTTTGCCAAGCAGCATGCAATGGTTTTGATGAGTACTAGCACAAGTTGCATACAGCTTGTAAACAATATATGGCGCATGTTAGGACGTTCACACCAGGGGAAACCCTAACTAGGCCATGCATGCGCATGCAATTGTCTAGGGAAAAAAGGTTTTGGTGTTAGTGGTAAGGTCAGGATGGCATCAACACTGGATGCAGGCTACCTTTATTTGGGAGAGAATAGAAGACTTTGGAAGGCTCACAAAAAGGGAGGCCAATGCAAGACTTATCTTTCAAGAACAAAAAGAGTTGTGGTGCTGCTTAGTGCTACTGATATATTCCTATCTATATGGTCCATTACTAGTGGTACATGAATTAGACATGCTTGCACGCATGTATATCGGCGGCAGATCTCTGTGCGTGCTACTTTAGAAATCTCTGGGCACCATTAGACCTTAACCTCTAATAAGGCCTAAGCTGGTATACTGCATTTTATCTTCAGTTGCAAGTTGCAACACACATATATAAGTATATAATTCAGATATATTTTCTCAGATATATAAGTATGCAATGTGGTCACTAACAACCTTAAAAAATATTTTCTTTTTTTTTTGATAAACCCAGCCTATACATCCAACCGGATATATACAACTTTTTAAAATTAGGAACTTAGCCTATCAAGCATGGAACCAGTTTGCTAGTTTATGTAGAGCTAGCTAGCATGCAGAGAAAATTAAGAAACCAATTAGCTAGTGAAATCGGTATATGTATATACCTGTGGCGGCGCGTTCTCGTCGGTCTCGAGGCGGTACTCGTGCATGATCCAGTCGGTCTTCTGGCCATTAGGCGCCCTGCCCTTATAGAAGACGAGTGTCTTCCTCATGCCGATGAGCCTGCTCTTGTCGTGCACCGCCTTGTCCCTCCCCGTCGCCTTCCAGAACCCCGCCATTGTCGCCCTGTTCGTCCTCGTCCCCGTCGGGTACTTCCTGTCCTTGTAGCTGAAGAAGTACCACTCGCTTTGCTCATCGTACCCGATCCCACAATGTTCTTCATCAATCAACAAACCAGGCAACACAATTAGGATAAATAATGCCACAATGATCATCTCTGAAACTCAAATTAATCATACGATCTCTAGTTGTACCTTGGAGATCCCAGGGTTCGATGCGGTAGAGATCGATGTCGCGGATGACGTCGAGGTCGATCTTCTGGGAGGCGACCTTCTTGCGGAGGTAGTAGCCGACGAGCTCCTCGTCGGTGGGGTGGAACCTGAACCCAGGAGGGACGCATGATTCCATGGCGTCCATATGATCACCAACCTGTGCCTGCACTGCAATTGCATGCACCGTGCATCAGATTCAGCAACACCGTCTTCTAAATATCCATCCACACCCAATGCATGCATGCATCAAATGATATAGCTCGCGAGTGGCACTAGTAGTAAAGAACACATGCAAGTGCTCGAATCATTCGGTGCAAGCAGGCTGGCTATCTTGCGATTTTTTATAGGACACACAAATGCAAAAGCTATCTGCACAGAAGGGCTAGTAGCATTGGTTTGGTCTGGATACTGAATGACTAGCTACAGACTGACTGACAAGGAGTATACTACTACAGTAGTGTGTATGGGTTTCAGTGCTTTGGTAAAATTTAATCCAGCCATGTTGGGTTTGCACTATGGACTTTCTAGGATAAAAAGGCAAAGTACGGCAGAGCCTGGGCAAGAGGCCAGCAGGGACAAATGTAGGAAAGCTACAGGCCTGCGAATGATACTGTCGACTGGTGATATCTCAGAGGCATGTGGGCTATAGTCAGCAACGAATTATAGCTGTTGCAGCAGCAGAAAAATGGTCTGCTATATAAGAGCAAGGTCAATAGTGTAGCCAGCTACTAGCTCCAATAACATCCATGTCATTTTATAGCCAATACCAAAACTAACTAGTACAATAGGTTGGCTATTATATCAACATGATCTCATTATTCAAACAATAAACTTTACATGTGCATGATCAGAAACGCCCTCAACTCTGTGGCTTATATGGCCATTTGTATTATGTAATAAATATGGGTTATCTACTACTCTACTTGAAAAATTAACGAATAACAACACACTTGATAATTCACATAGTATATCACAACCCACTGCTGCCCAACTGCATAATCTATACATGAAAAAAGGAGAAGAACAAAAGGGAAAATAAAAGGAGCTATAGGAAGAGATTAGAACGGACTAGATGCAACAGATGAGACGAAGAATCGGTAGAACAAACATAGACGACAAGCATTCAACAGACAGTGGGAGAAGAAAAGAAAAGAATTAGACCAAGCCAATTCAAATCAAGAAGTTGCTTATTGCTTTGGGTGCCAGTTGCATGCCCGCACCAAGCGCCTCTCAATCCTCCTCTCGCTTTCTTTGTCGCTGAGAACTGGGATTACTAACTTTTTGGGCGCACTGGAGCTTTCACGGCGGAGTTTCACGTCGCGGGAGAAAATTCCGGCGAGACAGGGGTGAGCGGAGGCGGCGTGAAGCGGAGCAAAATGCATCGGGCGGATCGGAAGAGGCACAACAGAAACAAAACGATACACGGGATCGGCGGGGTGGTTGCGGGACCCACAAATGCATGCGTATCTGTGTATCGCTCGGCGCTACATCTAGCGCCCGCTTTGTTCCCTCTCTCCAGTTATCTCTCTTCCACGTGAGAATAATCTGAGTTGGAATATTTTGGAGCCTGCTGATTAGATTTATTGTACCTTCTCTGATTAGTTTGTTCAGAGTTCAGTAATTTGTTTAGAGTAATAAAATTAGGGGCCTTAATTTGTAGCAACAATTAGTGTGACTTTTATACTAGAGAGTGCTGCATATATGTTTTTGAAGTGCATGTGTGCGCTAGATACACGCTAGTATAGCTAGTACTTAAGAACCTCAATATGCATGATTTTCTACTCATTCTGATCATACAGCTCTCATGAAAATGGATTCATGCATGGCTCAATGCAAAGCACTGTACGCAGAGCTTGCCAGGCCTTTATTTTGTACATATACTGTACATAGCTTAGATATACGTACGTACTGTATATAGCTTAGAGCATCAAGTATATATGCAATGCAATATATCTGCAATTAATTCTAGAATTGAATATATCTTAATATTAGCAGCTTTTTATCTAGTTCGCAAACTAAGGGCCCCTTTGAATCAAAGGAATGAAAAAACGGAGGAATAGGAAAAACATATGATTCTGACAGGAATGTAAGTGTAAAACAGAGGATTGCAAACCACAGGAAAAACATAGGAATGACCGTTTGATTGGACCACAGGAAAAACACAGGAATTTGAGGAGAGATAAAGACTCGAAGGATTTCTTCCATGAGGTTCTACCTCTTGTTAAAATTCCTCCAAAACTTGTATGGGAAGAGGCATTCCATAGGAATTTCATAGGATTCCATAGTGTTCATTCCTTTGATTCAAAGGTCTTTGTAGGAAAAATTCCTATAGGAATAAAATCCTCTAAAATTCCTATGAATTTCCTTTGAATCAAACGGGGCCTAATGCCCTCTTTGTTTGGGCTTGGGCTTATTGGCTTAGACTTTTAAGTCAGCTTATTGGCTTATATGATTTATAAGCCGGTGGATTTAATGTTCTAAGTTTAATGGTGGAGTCATGCATCTATCTCACATAAGCCAAAAAAACTTCTCCAACCTAGATTTTGGCTTAATAGTGTTAGAGTGGCTTATGGCTTCAAAAAAGCCAAACGAAAAAGCTGATTGTTTGTTTAGGCTTATATTTTTTGACTTATAAGTTGGCTTATAAGCCTAAATAAAAAGGGTATAAAACATATGGCATTTATACATGGTGCGTGGATGCTGGGGCTAAGCTTAAAACACAACAACCAAAACGAGAAAGCTGCATCGCTAGCATTTGCCGGGCGGATGAGCACGCGCCTGCATGCCGTGGGGCATGTAAAAAAATTTGACAAATTAAAGGTGGGGCTGGGAGCAAAAGATGGAGAGAATAAAAACGTGAGGAGAGGAAGCTAGCTAGCCAATGCCGGGGATCGGAGGGCCCTTTCAGCGATCAGGCCTGCAAATTAAAGGAGAAGAAGAGGCTAAAAAAGCGCCACTAACACTCACTCGATCACTCACTGCTCCGTGAAAGCTATAGCCATGGCATGCACAGAGAGAATGGAAAGCTAACACAGCAGCAGCCAGCAGGGGCACACGACTATCGGTTTTCTTGCACGGCCTCTGACCGTTCTGTCTGTTTGTCGAGGAATTCCATGGCACAGCAGGGACCCTAGCTTAGCTCTGGCCTTGCATTGTGCATTGTGGGCGAGCTGCCTACTGATCCTAGCTACTAGTAGATGCGCTCACATTTGCTGAGATACTGCTTGCGAAGTTGCAACGCTATAGTGCATGCCGATCGTACTACTGGACGGGGAGTGTCCTGTGCAGTGGAGGAGTACAGTACAGCTCGTAGGGCATGCATGGATGGTAGCTCTTCTGTAGGGTGGACACAGAAGGTCCAGGGGTAGATCACAATCATTTTGTGTTTCCCCTTTGGTTTTTAGTATTGTGATGCATGGTTGTTGCTAGTTATATAGTACTTCCTTCGTCACATATTAAGTTAATTTAGTATGGGATGTGTCACATTCTAGTATTATGAATGAACAAATTTTTGTCTAGATTTATCATACTATAATATACAACATCTCATACTAGGAAATACTCTTTCTATGTTTTATGTCTCACCAAAGAAAATGAGCTGATAAGCCTAAATGTGAGGGAGTGGATTTTGAACTGTTGAGAGGACATCACCTCGTTGTTTGCATATCATCTAAATAAATATGAAAATTTTGAGAAAATAGATAATATATGATATATCACTCCACAAACATACAAGTTAAAATCCAATTTCTACATGTTGCAAAAGAAAATTAAACTATAGCTAGTTAACATATATTCATAGCCAATTTTTCTTTTGCGACATGTAGAAGTTAAATTTGACATTCCATGTGTCGTAGAGTGATATATCACATTAATCTATCTTGTTATTTTTTTTATAAAAAAATTATAACCATTAGATGACATGCAAATAATAAGGGAATGTCCCCTCGAGAGCTTGCAAGAGAAATGACAAATTGAGATCTTGCTCAATGCAACGAATTTGAATAACAGGACATAATGCATGATTAATTAATTTATAATATATATATAAGTATACACCATTCATTAATGTGCTAATGAATTGTTAATTTGTAAATCCAGTCCTTTCATGTGAGATCTACCCTTTTTAATTAGGATAAAATTACAGACCGCCTATAAGTCCCGATGTCGGGTATATACCTCATGGCAATGAAAAAGGAATGTTGATTTTTTATTGATGGATCAGTCACTACACTAAAGTATTAATCCTCTAGGGTTGTTATTATGTAAGGATGTCAACTAAGATGGTGCACGCATGCTACCTTGCTAACATTGTCACAGACCTCCTATGGTAGTATATACTATACCAGGTTGGGTCAGAATGGATAGAAAGGGGATGGTGGTCCTAGATCGATATGTACAGTGACCTTCGTATCCGTGTTTAATGATTCAAGAATGAGACAAATGATTTACCAAGATTAATTATCCTAAGTATTGCACATATAGCCTCATGTTCCCAAAAATGAGCATTATTTTAGTTATGGCGATGCATGATATATCTACATTCCACACTTGTGAGCAGCTTATTGATCAAGTGTGTAATGTATTAGATATATCATGCATCGCCATAACTAAAATAATGGTCACTTGTAAAAAAAATTCAAAAAAAAACATTCCACACTTGTGTTTTTATATGGTAGTAGAAATTGGAACAAAATAAGTTATGGAAGATTTCCATGTAGACCAAACTAGTACAGTGCTGGTATAGTTTACATGGCAAAAGGCTACATTAATTTATATTTGTTTTTCTTCAAATTAATCAGACTTTGGAAATTTGCTTGCATTCCGACCATTTTTCCAATTCCAGCCTCTGCATGCAAACCTCATCTAGCTTGGTGCAACAAAACTACTATGCGTGGACTGTATAGCACTTATTAGCTTACTCATATAAGGTTGTTTCGTGTAAAAGAAGTGTTGTCACGCCGTCTATTAATTATTGTACGACGACATATATAAGTGGATATAATTTAGTTCAACATATATATACTTCACAGTGTGTAAAAGTACATACTATAGCTACAGTAGTATATAGTGATCTGAACCGACCATCTTGAGAGTGCTCGTTTAATTTTTATAGCACCATATACCACCATATCCAAAAATACATTGGCCAATCTAAAAGGCAATTTCGGTCTATTTGAGTGTATGATTCAGATCTTTCTTTGGGGGTAAAATGGAACAAAAAGAAAGAAGAAAAAATGGGTTATGTATATGACCACTGCGCTTTCTCGAAAAGGAAAAGAGGTAGATCAATTACTATGATCATATAGGGGGTCAATCAGAAGGATGCAATGTCTCTGTGCGGTGTGACAGTGTTGTAGTTACATGTGAATGAACACATTTATTTGTGTCACATTTATTTTTTACAGTCCTTAAGGTACCACTTTTCTCTTGTAAAATTTGATACCTTGAGAACTGTAAAATTGCTCTATATACAAAACATATACTACCGACACAGAGAATTGTTTGTTTTATGATTTTTATTATAAAAATATTATGTTGAAGTAGCAAATGTAATTCAAAATATATAACTTTACACACATACTACTATGTATGTAGAGCATGCAATAAACAGCTTGATTTTTAATCAATATACATCATATCACATCAGATGCATATGATACCAATACCAGTATGAAGAATTTTTTTAAGCATCTGATTATGATCAATAAAGATCAACGAAGAAAAGAGGGGAATGTAAAAGAAAAAAAACTGAAAAGGTTGCAAATAAACAGGGCATATATATAGCCACATCTTTTTCCATAACAGAAATGAAGAAGTTTCTGCATCGAGATGTATTTGGCCACATTCATAGCTACATCTTGTTCGACTATTTTCAGTTCAAGCTAGCAAAGAGGAGAAGAGAAGTGCTAGAATTTTTTTTCGAAGAACAAGCAGCTAAGGATTTTTGCCTAATAGAGAGGAGCTAGATTGAACAAAATTAAAGAACAGATCAAGATGATCAAACCAGCACAGATCACAGATCGATGAACACACCAACATATATAGCTAATAACTGATCGATCAACCAGTACTGAAACTCACCTCAGATCAAGCGACAGCTTCAGTTATCTCGATCTATACAGATTAGGCGATCGAATTCAAGAAACTCTCTTCTCCAAGGAGAAGCACAAACTCGTCTGTATGTTCTCTTCTCTAGCTGTTGGCAAGAAGCTGGCCTGCGTGTGTGGAAGAATAAATAGCATTGGAGAGGAGGAGATGGAGTTTGCATTGGAGAAGAAAAGAGGGGTCGAGAAGGTGGCGGGTATAAAAAAGGGTCGGGGTCGCTCTCCTTTCCGTCGCGCGTGGGTGAGGGGAATGAAGGCCCTTGGGCCCCACATATGGGCCCACCAGCTGACGTCACGTCGTCCTCTTCCTCCTGCTGCTAGCTGCTACTCCTCTTTCCCTTTCCTCTCCCGGCACTGAACAGTACAGAAGAAGCTCTAGCATTCGAGCATCTATGTCTAACCTTTGCATGTAGCTGATGATATATGTGCCTATTGATCAATCTTGTAGCGGCCAGAACTTAGCCATGATCCAGCTAGGGCCTTTGCATATACCGGCTCTTAGAGTAATTCATACGTAGAAGCAGGTGCAAAGGTATCTGCACCTAGCTAGTAACTCATGCATATATCACTTAATTTAAGAGAGACTAAACCTAGATCTCTCAATGGATTCGGCGGCATGCCATTCCAGTGCTAGATGGCATACATAAGCTACTAGCTATATTTGATATATATTCTGATCAAGAAACTAGAACAGAAGAACATATATAAGTTAGTTATGCATCTCGTCCTCTCTAATTTGGAGAAACGAGGCATGATTAACTTTTAAATGCATGCTTTAGTTTCTGGTGCAATCAAGTGCATGTTAATTCTTGCCAATGGTACCACAATGTGCTTTCAGCTGTTTATAGGACCATGTTGCCCCAGTTGACAGATGAACAAATTGCTCAGTAGAATGAGCTGCTGCTTGTTGCAGGTCCCGTACACAGTTGTCCAGGTATCATGCATGATCAGTCCATTCTATCATTGCAGTAGATTTCTGGGGCGAACGGGTTTCCCTACTTTCAAATTGTGATTGATGCGATATGTTTAATTGAACAAAATGATGTTAACTGTACAGTTTTGATCTGATATGTAAGTAGCAATCACTAGCTGGCTAGCTAGTAGCAGTTAATTTGATTTTGATCACTCAACACAGAAGCCAGTAAAAATCACCGATCTCTAGCTAGCTAGCTTATCAAATGCAGATCGATATATGCAATACAGACATGTCCTTTCTTAATTTGACTATTATTATTCATGTCCTACCTAGAATTTTGTGTTCTCAGATCAGAGAGCAATATGCACCAAGGCTGATGAGGGACTAATTGCGTCTGTTAGCCTTAGCCATTAGCATTAAATCAATTATATTCCAGAAGCATGATCAGTGGGAATTATGATGTCGATAACACAGGGGCGTAGGCATGCATTACACAAAACATGTTGTGCTAAGTATGATGCCACCTACCACTGTTAGGAGCCACAGGGAAACAACAAATCCTTGCGTGATAAGATTGGATCAAATTTGGGAACCCTCGCATCATTCCGGTTCTCATTGCTGGCTAGCTGCTGATCAACTCATGATCAAAGAAAAGCTATTTACAATGATGCAATGAAAGTGAAACAATTTTAGATTTATTTATTAACAAATTGTGATCTGTATTTAATTAAGCCAAAATAATTTCTTCAATTCATTACCTCAGAAAGTTAAAAGTTTTGCCAATATGAACAATGGCATAACTTTCTACATGCTGTGCAGAGCTTTACAACACCAGAATCCAACTCTAACTAACGGTATCATGAGCAAAGTCAAGGAAATCTACGGAGTAGCTAGTGTGCTATAATTGTTGATGATTATTACAAATGTGTTCTAATTCAACTGGGTGACCACAGAGACAAAGCAAGCATTGGTCAAATTTTGGATTAAGGTAGTGTATCTATATTCGATCTTTCTTTTTCGTCAAGCAAAGAAAGCGAAAAAGTTGTGCTTTTTTCCTTCAATAATAAAACCTACATACTACACCCCATTCTAGTCCCCATTCTAATCTTCTGGATGCACCATCTTTTGAAATTTTCAATTGTAAATTAATCAAGTGGTAAACTCACTCAATCTTCTTCGTCACACTGAGTTTGTCTGTTTTCCCCCATAATATAAATACTTAGTATTAATTAGACCTAGTACTCCATTTTCAACTGCAACAACGTACTTTAATTAGATTAATTAATTGCCTTCCCTGAAAAGTATATATACATGTTTGTAGTACTTGATGAACAAGTGATCAGGGAACAAAAAGCTAGAAATATATGGAGTCCAGCTACAGCATAACATACATGTTTGTTCTCTTTTTTTTCCAATAAATATAGCAGACACTGGTGTACTGGAACAAAACAATGATACACTTTTGGTTTTTGGACCATATGAATGTCGTAACACAGAACTTTCAAAACCTAATAAGGATAGGTAGTGTGAGAGATGGAAAAAGATTATGGACACAGGGGCCCAGCAGCCCTGCAAATTGCTTGGGTTTGCATCATGTTCTTGCGGCCGGGTGACTATAATAATGCCGGCCCCTTCATCTATCTATAGCTAGCTACTATAGACATGCATTAGTTTCTCATGAACTTTTGTTTCCTCATCACAAATGTTTTGGTAGAGAGAGATGGAGAGGTCAAATGGGAGGAATTAATTCAGGTAGGACATAGCAGGCGAGCAGCTGCTAATGATCATGTAACCTCAAAACAATCTCACGCGGCGCTAATCCCGATGGGAGCTGCTCTCCACGCTGGAGCACGACATTCCCCTGCACTTTTGCTCCCCGGACGACACGTCGTCTGCAGATCACTCTGGGATTAAACCCTAATTAATTCAGTGGGTGTGCCCTGGGTTACCCATGTTCTTGCTGCAGGGTTAGAGTGGCGCAGCATTAGGGAACAGGGGCCAGTAGGATATTATGTATAGACGGGTTCACTTTTCTTGTCTCTGCAAGCTGTTTCTGTTCTTGGTTGACATGTTGATAAATTTAAGATATTTCTTGGTCTACACGAGCACTTTAACCTTACTGTCTAGTTAGTAGTTCATTATATTAAGAATGTACATTGCCATTAGCCTGCGCTGAAGAGTGATTAGCAGCTTAATTAGCATATACCTGAAGGGAAGGCAGGTTTAATGTGTGGAACAGAGTTCCAAATTGATCATCTAGATAGAGGACATGTTCTGGTTTCTGGTCAGCTTCTAATTAATAACCTTGCTAATGTTCTATCTCCCGGCCTCTAGCTATGGAATATACGTACTAATTCTTCAATTCATCATGTGCTTGACAGTTGACACCGTATGCAGCAGCATTGAAGCTAGCTAGCTGATCACCACATATTTCTTAAAGCGATGCGCTTTTCATCTGGCATTGCACACATATTTGCACATTACTACTATACACTTCAGCAGCTGCATGCGATCGAAACATACAGGAACAACAGACTGATCAATCGATCGGAAAGCTGTAACGGCACGCCATGTTTCTTTCTTTTCTTTCTTGGTTAAGGCTGGCTGATGACTTGTCCTTTCTTCCCCCACCAAGCATGTAACAGCATCTCCCCAAAAGTGCACTTAACAATAACAGGATAAGCTTAGCAGCTGTTACGCCTCACCCGTACATAAGCATAAACTACAATCGTGTGGCCAATAACTGGGCGTCCAGGTATATACTAATCATGCTACTCCCGATGATGCATCTAGAACTAGCTAGCTAGCTCCCAATATATTCATCTACTTTTAGGCCCACACATTGCAGTACTGAATCCATGTGTCTGAAACTATGTACTCCTAGCAGTAGCAGTATATAGCAGTAGCACTAGTAATGTAGTATAAAACAGGGTACATATATACGTAGCAACATCAAGCAAAATACAGACGTGTTGGTAGGACAAGAAAAGGAGGTCAAGTTGCATATTGCCTGGGGCCGGACACCGATGGACAATGGTGACCCTACCTGAAACGATGCAACTCGTCGAGAGGTCCAGACATATGGAAAACGTCTGAACTCGACACGTACCTAGCTGCAGCTGACTGATGCTGCCTTGGCTAATGGTATGGTCGATGATCCAAAGGCTTTACGTACAAGATACACTAGATGCAAAGTACACATACACGTCGTTTTTGTACTCGACGTCGTTTTAGGCTACGAGGATTTCCACTTGTAAGCACGAAGGTACGTCCATGAGAGTAACCTCTGACAGGTTATTTTACATGTGGCAGGCTTGGAGCAGTTGCTAGCTACTCCAGCTTGCACAAATGTGTTCAGACGTCGAGTTGCAGGCAGTGTGAATGTGCCATTTGTATGATCAGCATGTTGATGTGTAGATGCAGCCATGCATGCAGATATTGCGAAAGCAGAATGAAAGTTAGCTATCTTGCCACAAATCGAGTGAATACAGTGTTTTGTTTGCCTTTCGTCTATTCCTCAGAACGCTAAAAAGCGCTGAGATTTTTTCCCATGGAAAGGTTGTTCTTTTCACAGTACAGTACACCGGCAGGCACATATTGTTGCCTCTAGAAACTCGCCATTGTGGCCCAGGCCAGCCGGCGATGCAGAAAAGTCAAAAGTTGTTCAGAACTGTACTTTATCTGTGATGTGACGGGCACAATACATGGATGCTGTGTTCAAGATCATATCTGCTGTTAGCCTGTTACTATAAGATCATATCAGACCGAGCAGGAATGCAGGATATTAAGGAGTATGCATAAAAAGTTATTTTTCATACTTAACTTTCATTGGTTGGTCGGCACCATGCGTATCTTTGAAATGCTGTAACTAACTCTTCTTACCTTGGTTAATTAATCGTTTTACTTAACCGGATGGCGACTGACCAAAATATCCTGCAGCCCCAGAGTAACGGGCTAAACGTCGCTATCAAAGTTAACCCCTCTGCTTCACTTTGCATCATTAGTTACCTAAGCATATGATAACATTTACAAAGTCCCATTTAAACTCGGATAGTGTGTCGGCGTCCACGGCCGCCCCGGCAGGTAACATTATATTGGTTTCTGGATGGGAAAAAAGACAGACGGTCCCCATATACAATTCAAACTCGATCGAAAGTCATACATATAATGTTACATGCGTGCATGCACCAATGCAGATCACTGGCCGGACGTACTGTAAGTTTGGACTGTAACAGCATGCAGCTGGTATCCAACCACGCG